ATAATGTCTCATCAACGTTGCTGTTTAGTGCTTGTAAGAAAATAGTAGAAGCAGTTTGGTTTTGGATTTTTTTTAAAGCGATGCAAAAAACTATCATCTAGTAATGGAAAATGGGTTTCCAGTTTGCGTGTAGTCATGGTTTGCGCCATGATTACATGGAGGAAATTTTGGGGAATTTGTGTTGGACAATAGTGAAATCGCTTTTTTCAAACAAAGAAAAAGAAAACTGTTAGCAAAGGTTTGTCAATAATCATGTTCATTGCTTAAAAAAATAATATTTATTTTTAAGTGCTGTGCTGTACCCATGCGTAGCAGTCCCATCCCGTTGCAGTGAGGCTTTCCATGCTATGTATAAAGCTAAACATGAAACTGCTGTGATATAGGTGATCTTAATGCTTAAACATGGCAGCTCCTGGTAGGAAAGTTTCCAGTGTTTTGTCATACTGCAGACTGATATGATTTTGGGGTCTCACACCAGGGACCAAAAAGCCAGGGCTGATGAAGGAGAAACCTTCTGCCCAGGAACACTTCCAGGCTCACAGCAGTGAGTGGTGTGTGCTTGGGGTAATTCCTTGTATGATCAATTCCATACTCTTCACAAGTTTTTAAATGTAGTAATAAATTTATTTAATATTATACATAATAATGATTAAAAATAAAATCTAGTAAATTAAATTATTATTATTATTATTACTGTGTTTATTATTATTGTATTTAAAGGCATTAATTTAAATGCATTTGAAAGGACAAATTATTATTGCAGCAGCAGCGGTATTGTATTGAGTACAAATTTGTTATTTTTTAAGGGTTTCTGATCCTTCTGCACTGAGGACTGGGGAGGGAGGAGGAGCAGCAGTAACTGGGCATGAGATGACATCCCAGAGCAAGCCTCTTGGACTAAGTTTATTCACAGTTAGTGCCAGTGATTCTCAGCTGCTATTTAGAGGACTCACAGTTCATTTTTTGTTTCTCAGTCCCTTTTCTTCCCTTTCCCTTCAGCTGGGAAGCTGGGAGCAGCCACAGCAACCTGGCTGTCTTCCTCCACTTTCCTTGTGACGGGCCTGGCAGGGCGTGCTTGGCCACAGCTTTTGCCAGAGCTTTCTTCTCACACAAAAATGTGCTGAGGGACCACATGGCCAGCAGACACTGTCCTGCCTGTGAGGATTTACAGCATGGCCTGTGGGAAGGGATGGTCCCTGCTCCCTGCCTGTGCTGCAGATGACCCAGGGCCCTTTGCAGGGATACTAAAATATCGTCATGCTCTTTTGTTCATTCCTTGAAATATAAGATTCTACCCTTTTTTGAAACCACAGAGCCAGAGATGGAAAGGCAGCCCTTTGAATCTGTCAAAATTTGACTGCAGGGTTCCTTCCGACCCCTGTGCTAATTTCTAGCAGAGCAGGAAACATTAAAAATAACCATGAGAGAAGATTTCCCAACTCAGAAGGATTGTCCTCTTAATAATCTCTGGCTTTGCTTTCACTATATATTTTCCCCCCTTAAAATTCCTGTAACGCTTTAAGAGCAAGTCCATCCCTGCCAGCAGCAGCGAGGGCACTGGAGGGGGGTGGCAGAGGGCCAGGGAGCCAGGCTGGCCCCTGGGCTGCTCTGAGCCTGAGGTGAGTGATGGACATGGGAAATGCCTGTTATTTATTGGAAGAGCTTGAGCTTGCAAGCTCCACGTCTTCCCTTTTGGGTGAGCTCAAAACTGTTCTCAAGCCTTCAGCTGACCTCAGCAATGGGTGAATCTCTGTATCTCAAGACTTGTGAGCTTCTACTGTAAAACAAGATGAAAAATACATCAGAATTTGTTTTAAAATGCTTCTGAATCAGCCTCTTACTCTGAAGTTGAAATGTTGTGTGTCAAATCCAAGGCATGCATCAAGATTGTGTGCTATAGTAATGAGCTCTGCTCAAGCTTTTACATTTTATCTGACCCGTGTCTGCATTCTCAGCACAAGGTATAATTCTATATCATTAAACAATAGATCATCAATGTGTACCATAAAATGTATTAGCTTTATAAATAATGTCCTCACCCTGGTGATGGCAAAGGGGGATGCACCATGGGATCACCATGGATCACCTGTGCCTATGTCACTCTTTGCGAGGGGTGAAACCAAGGTGTGTAATTGCAATTATCACTCACCTCTGTGAGTGACTGATTGAGCTCTGTATCACCAGCTCTGTGTCACCAGCTCTCCCCAGTAATCCAGCTCCTCCTGCTCCAGAAACCTGAGGGCTCCAGACAGATGTTGCAGATGTATTTTCTTTGCAGAATTGACAGTAACAATTTTTCTTTTCTAATGGGGAGGGTGTCCCACAGAGCTGCTTTGGCCAGGCACTGAACGCATCTGGTGTGTGCTCAGAAAATGAGATGTGAGTTGGTTACCAGCTGGAAGGGGCCTCTAGGGTCATCTGGGACCCCAACAGTGTGCTCTTCCTTGAGGCATTTTGTCCCACTTAGCCAGTGCAGGGATGGTTTTGGTCAGAACTATGTTTTGGGGGAAATTGGTTGAATTTTCCCTCTACCTTGTTTTAAAGCATTGGGTTTGTCCTAGGCAGAAAGTTCATCCCCTCTGGATGTAGAGAGTAGTGAATTATATGAATTGTGATCAGTGTGTGGTTTAGAGCAAAGGACTGTGATCAAGAGTGAGTGAAGGCACAAGTGAAATTGCTCTCTGGGCAAAAACAAGAGTCTAAAAGCCACTGTGATGCTTTCTGTTGCTTGGGATGTCCAAGGAGAAAACTCTCCTTTTTCATACACTTTTCTTGGTTGGTTAAGTGGAAGTAATTTTTTTCCTGTCAGAGTGAAAACTTCTATGGAGATTGGTTTTAAGTGGGGGAATAGAGGGTTACTTGTTGCTCCCCCATGCCTTGTTTATCAAATAAATTAGAGATTGCTTAATCTTTAATTAAAATGACATGGAGGAGAATTCAAATAAAAGACAATAACAATCTCAACACATGGGTGCTCCTGAGATTTGCAGGCAGTCAAGTCAGGCAGCCCAGATTTCAGATGTTCTCTCTGCTCTGCCCAAGAAATCTCCTGGCTGCTCTTGGGAACCCTGCCTTGCTCACACAGACATTTGGCTGGGCAGGTAGAGCGGAGTCAATTAAATCTCCAGCCCAGACTAACAAGACATTTCAAAGTCTGTGCTAGTCTTGTCCATTCAGTGCTGTGGCTGGCCAAGAGCCCCTTTGGAACCCTGAAGGATATTGTTTCTCTCAAGCATTAAATGCTTTCCCTCAAACATCTTCTGAATAGGCCATTGTTTTTGCTTCTGGATGTCTCTTTGTGGACTGATACAAGAATAGCTAAAAGCTGAAGAACTGGCATTTTATATTTAAAAAAAGTAATAATAATTCTGGGATTTCTACTCCTCTGAGAAGTTGAATGTGCTGCCAGTTCTGTGCTCAGATCCCATGTCTGATCCTCTGAAAGTCAGGGAGTTGTATCAGGAGCTTCAGATGAATCACCTCAAACAATCATAGTTTCAGGAAAGAAGCTCTGTGAACCTGATGCCATTCCCAGCTTTTAGAACCTAAGGAATTGAGGTGACATAAAGTATGGAGGAGGTGTCAGGGTGGTTTGGTGTGACCTGCAAGCCTTTGCATTAACAGACACAACTGCTTTATGTCTATTTTTCATGACTATGTAGCTGTTGAGTACTGATGGTTCCTTATAAGAAAAAGTACACATCACATGAGGAATACAACCTGTGCTTGATCACTTCAGAAATCTCATGTGTCAAGGCATCCTCATTTATTTTCAAGTGAACTTCTCTTGCACAGGTCCTCCAGTCCTTGTAACCCAGTTACTGATGATCTGCCCAGGTCATCTGGATTTACCTTTTTCCTAACAGAGCTGTGTTCCCCCGAGTTTCATATTCCAGGCCCCATCAGCATAGCCATTGCAGACTGAATTTTTCTTTCTCAGTGGCCATTTATTCCTTATCAATGGCTGTGAGTTGCAAGGATGCTCTTTTTAATGCAGCCATTGGCCTCTTCTTACCTACCTTTGCCTCTTTTGCCCAATTTCCCTGTCACAGATATAAAATAAACCAAAAAAGACTCACCCCAATCAGTTCCCTAAGAAATACAGACAACTTTGGTGCTTTAGCACTGTAGCACAGTCCAGACCCCTTTTGCTCTGGTAGATCCTTGTGGTTCACAGGGCTGTAAAGTGGGAGATGTTCCATCCCAGCATGTTGGGAGGAGGATGTGCATATTCCACAGGTGTGGCTGTGCAGGACAGGTGTAGGAGGGAGGTGGAGCTGATCCCAAGGTGCAGCTTTGCAGGGGGAACCCTTGAATTTGCCACAGGCAGTGGACTTACTGTAACTGGTGTGTGTCCCTTTTTCCCCAAAAGTGGCAGCTCCAGCTGATGACAGGGGCAGCTTTGGCCTTAGAGCATCTGTGCTTCCTCCCTCCCCACATCCCTTATCAAAAGCAATGCTTCCTTTGGCCCAGCACATTCAGTGTTTGGTGTTAATTAAGGGTTTAAGTGCCAGAAATGCTGGGGAATTCACCATTTTCCATATTGGTGCAGCAACCCTAGAAACAGGAGACCTGAGGAAGAACTGGGATAACTGAGTGCTTTAGGAAAAATAATTCAGATCCAAGGTTGATGTAAATCACTCATGGATCTGCTCAGTTTAACCAAATCAGGCATGTTTTACTGCTGCTGGTTTTGACTTTCAAAACCTCAGGGAGTCCCAGGCGAAGTGCCAGAGCAGTGTCACCTTACCCCTGTCACTAATCCTGTCGCTTCCTTTCACCCTCCTTCACACTCTGCAAATTGTTTGATGCCTCTTACTGTGCCTCTGTGAAACCTTCCTGCTGGATTGCATGGATGGAGCAGTAGGTAAATCATAGAATCATAGCCAAAGATTTAAGTAAGTAGAGTCTCTTTCAGAGCATGCCTCATAATGCTATGTTTGAAACAGTTTTTTTTCTTTTCATTTTTTAATAATACTCTCTTTTCCTTCCTTTTTCAGGGGCCTCTTGGCTTGGATGGCAAACCAGTAAGTAGCACTAAGTGCCAAATATAACATGTCTTTGTTCATGCTGCTCCACAATAAATAGGCAGTATCTCAACTATTACTCATTTAGTGTTACATATATAACTGTTTAGGAGGAACAATTGTACTTGGGAAAATGATTCCATGCAAGTTTGAATTCTGAGCCAGGGCTGGCCAGCAGAGCTGGAGGTGAACTTTTCTTTACCTGTCAGCTCATCTCAGGTGCCTCTTCCCCTCCTGCCCCAGCTCGGAGAGCACAGACTGCAGATGGGCATCAGGCCAAATTTGGGGAATAAACTCCAGTAGCACATTCAAAGAGCAAAGTCAGTGATCTTGGTTGTGTGCTTCTGGCACTACAGAGTGATACCATAAAAATAATTGATCCCAAAGCAGGTTCCATTTTCCTCCAAAGGACCTGAGCTGGGAACTGCTTGAGGTTGCCCAGTGTCCATACTTTTTGGAAATACTTTTTGGAACAGACTGGATTAATTTATGAGCTGTTTTCTTGACTTCATTTTTGCTTGGAAGCCCTTTGGATATTCAGGTGCTTCATTCTTTTCTTACTTATTTTACAGAAACGCAGACTTTTTTATTTTTATGCTAATTGAATCCTAGCCAGCTCTGATTCCTTCCACCAAATGGTTCCTACAGAAGGTCACTACTCCATATTTTGTCTCCAAACCCCATTCTCTTCCACCACTTTCACCAGAGGGCCCAATATGAAATCTTTTTAAATTCTGGTCCTAAACCACGTGGGATTTCAAAGTGGGTAAAAGTCATTCAGTCTTTGCAATTGAAAAGCTACTCCAGACACTTATTTCCATCCAGTTAGGGAGTGTGCTGTTATAGCCATACACTGCTGTGGTTGGTTTTCATCCTAACCCTGAGGATAGCAAATGTGAATAAAATCTAGAAATAAAGCATTAGACAAGAAAAGAAGGAAGGGCTTGGCTTTCATTAGCAAAACCTCATGCTGAGAGTGCAGTCAGACCCCAGAGCACAGCCCTGCACCCCCAGGCTAGGGTGCCACTGCAGGGCAGGACTGAGACCCCGAGTGACAGGCAGGGGAAATCTCAGTGACAAAGCAGACTTATCACACAGCCAGGCTCAAGACAGACTGTTGATGATCTCTTCCATGACAGTGAGGGGCCAGCAGCCTTGCTCAGAGAAAAACAGTGGGAGGGAAGCTGTGTGGGAATGCTGCTGCTGCTGCCTCTCTGCTGACCTTCCCCCACCGGGTCCCACTTCAGCACACACTGTGCACTGGTACCAAGATTTGGTACTTTTCTGTGCTGGAAGGCAAATGCAGAGCAGACACATCAAAGTGCTGTTCTTGGGCTCTCTGGGGCTGCAGTGCCTCTGCCTGTCCTACAGACAGCTGCTCTGAGGGAAGATGAATGATGCCTTCAGCAAACGGGCCAAAGAAAGCAGCCCATCCTCCTTGTTTATTTCAAACAGATGTATAATTGTTGTAATGATATTCTGAGCATGTGCTTTTTCTAGAAGTGATTTAATACCTCAAGGTATCTGTTGCATCTATTTAGTCACGTGTTGGTGAGCTGCTGCCACACTGCCTGCCCTGCTCTGGTGCTCTATACTCTGTCCCAGCAGGAGCAGGCAGGACCTCGTGGGTGCTGTTTGGTAAAGTGAGGCTCATGTCAAGCACTGCACAACTTAAAATAGTAGCATGTATTCCTTAAAATCATGGAGAATGTGGCTCAGGTTTGTGAACTGATGAATGTGATTTCCTTGGTTTTCATGCATTGGTGATTCTGCTGTTCCTTAATTTGGATTCTTCTTATGTGTTTCCAGGGACCTCCAGGACCAAAAGGGGAAAAGGTAAAGGCTGCATCAACGTGTGGATTTTGGGGAAGCAGTTCCTGTATATCCTCCTGTTGCTGTAATTCTTTCAAGTTCAGGTTGCCCCAATAACCCAGCTGGGTTTTGTTGGAGCTGTTAGAGTGGGTTCTCACATTGCTCTTGGGAAAGCTCCAGGAAGGGGGGGCAGGAAAAATTTGCAAAAAAGGTGGGGGGACAAGTGTGGTCTTAAAGCTCATTTATGCTATAGGGTTCTGGTAAGCCACTAAGGGTGATGAGAGTATAAAACTCTTCATTTCTCCCAGAGGTCTGGGCTCCATCATGTTTGCATGACACCCATGCAATCAGAGGAGCCAAAGAAGGTCATTACTGAAAGTGAAGTTAATTTTCACATGTGAAGGACATAAGCAGTTGCTAGGAGAGCCTTAGAGTTGGAAACAAACAGCTATTTCTGATTTATAATCTGTTTCACTGCCTGCCAGGGCAGAATCTTTCCCTATTGTGTTTTCTCAAAACCTTCTCCTCCCTCATTTTAAATACATTAAACAATAGGAGTCTTGCCCCTTCCCTTGTGTGCTGTACCCGTGTCCAGCTGACCCTGTGCTCAGTCCTTCAGGGTTGAGATTTGAACTCTGACCCTTTGCTGTTTTTCCTGATTTGCAGGGGGAAGCAGGAGACATCGGCCCAAGGGTAAGTAGTGACACAACGCTGATTTATTCTAAAATCTGGTTGGGTTTAGTCACTGCACAAAACAAAGCCTTGCTGCAAACAGTATGGTAACAGTTGTGGAAATGTTTAATTTTGCTTCTGGAGCTCTTTGTGGTGATGGTTTTCCTAACTCTGGCCATGAGGAAAAAGGAGTCGAAGATCTTTTGGTACCTCATGGAGGGTTTTGCTTCTACTGAACCTTCTCATCCCTGATTTTCTCTTCCAGTGTCAGAGACAGACTCCATGTTTCTCTTGGAGTTTTTCTTGAGGCTGTGCTCCTTATTTGTTGGCATTAGAGCACCAGTGTGTGGGGGATCCTTGGGATCTGGTCCCAAGGAGAGGAGAGGTCCAGCACAGAGTTGTGCAGGATGGAACGTTCCTCCTCCCTTGCTGAGCTCCCCACCTGGGAGCAGGATGGCATCCAGGTGATATCCAGGCTGCCTTTGAAAATAAAAGGGCTAAAGTAACTGCATGATGAGGGAAAACTCTTTTGGTTACAGCATACAGAAATTAATGGAATTTCATTAAATTCCCTCTATGGAGCTGCACAAAGTTAAGATTTACTGAAGTAAAACAGGACAGGTCTCCATGAGACACCAGGGGGATGTGGCCCATGTTGGGATGAGATGGGAGGTTTCACCATGAGGTGTGGGCTCTGTTGCAGAGGTATTTCTGAGGTGTGGTTGTCTGTGGATTATGGGCACCTGCTGCAAACCCCATTGTGGGGCTGTGCTGGGATCCTGGTGTACCTGTCGCTGTAGGAGGCTGGATTTGGAGCTGGCACTCAAGAGTTGGCTGACCTGGGTTAGATGTCATTGCTGGAAACATAACCTGGACCTCAGTGGTTAATGTCGAGTAGAGATGCTTCACAGACATTTTTCTCTTTTCCCCTGGAGGTTGTAAAATCACTCCATGAAGTTGGTGTCATGTTCTGAAGCAGCTCCCAACTGCCTTGGGTGTGTTTGGAAATGTCACCCTGGGGCTCAGAGAGCCCCTAAAATTTCTCAGATGGATTTATGGCCTGTGTGGTGAAGGAGGGGCTCGGCGCAAGGCCTCACTTGCTCCAAGTGCCCACCCACGTTCTCAGAACAGGCTTTAAGAGGTGATCCAGCAGCACAGGGACCTGGGTTTTCTCTTCTCAGCCAGGGCTGTGGGTGCCTTTGGGGCTGGCAGCTCGGGAATGCTGGAGGAGGTGCTGCTCAGGCTCCAAAGGCTCTGTGCTGCCAGGTGCTGTGGAACTCACCTCCTGCTGCAGGAGATGCTCTGGGACAGGCTCTGTCTGGACTTGCAGGGCAGGTACCAGCTCTCAAGGTAACTCTTGTCCTTTGCTTTCGCCTACCAAGAAAAATGTGCTGAGTTTGGGGGGCATATTTTGTTCTGATCTGCATTTGTCCAGATTTTGCTTCAGTTTTTGATTTATTTATGACTTTTTGCAGAACAGTGAGAAAAAGGCTCAAAAAAATTTTGGGAGAAAAGTGAGAGAGAAAAGCCTGGCAGAACCGTGCACAAGTAGACTTAAAAACAGGTGCCTGACTTTGTAAATAGCTCCCTTTATGTCTCCAGACACTCAGAGTTGTGAATAGGAGGCAAAACTTCTTAATACCATCTGGTCTAGATTACTTTTATTTCTGAATTTAATCTATCTTATTCCTCAAGTTTCAGTGGTAGCTTTGTTTAGCTGATTTTGATTTTGAAAGATGTGTCAATGCAACTCACTGCATCAATGGGAAGATAAATAACTAGGACTGTATCCAGTGCCCTCTTCCTTGTAAATGGTCGTGTCCATGGGCGGTGGAATGAGGCTAGAGAGTGTCAGTGAGCACTGAAACACTATCATTAGCAATGATGGATTAAAAGAGAATAGTCCTTGGGGTGGCTTTGGAGGGACTGTCTGTGGTGGCAGTGAGGTGATGGCAATTGGGGATTAGCTACTGAATCTGTTCATGTCTGCACTGCTTCCCTTTCTGTAATAAACACCTGCCAGCAGCGTGGACAAAACCAGAGATTATTACACGTGGGAGTGTGCCTGCTGGGAGATGCTGGAGAGTGATTTTGGAGAGCTGAGGAAGGACAACCTTGGGTTGTCCTCATCACTGAATGCTCCTTGTTGTAAGCAGCATGAGGGAGGATGCTGTGCAGCCTCACCTGCTCAGGATGGGGAATAAATGTGCACAAATGTACTGACAGGATGCACAGAAGTGTATTTACAGGGAGAAATCACTAACAGGTCCCCTCTGCTTTTGGGAGGATAGACAGAGTTGAAGCAGGATGCTGCTGGGGTTGGGACAGCTGTGCCCTGATATTTGTGCCTGTGCTTCTCTCTCCCAATCAAATACATTGCTGTACCCCTGGAAAAGACTGGATTTATAAGCCTGACTTGTTCCCTGAGCTGGCACTGGGCCAGCTGCTCTGGATTTATGAACTCAGCTGGGTGATCTTGCTCGTACTGACAGATGAGATGTTCAGACAAATGATGGGACTGAGGAATCCCTGCACATCTGGGCCAGCTGATGCACAGTGCCTGTGGCAGAGGGGGAAAATGAGCTTCAGCTGGTGGCAGATCTGCTCTGTCTGCATGGCCCACGTGGCACATGCCTGCCCATGGCCAGTGCTGATGGAGATGGCTCCAGCACCTCCTGCATCTGGAGCTGCTGGGGGGCAAACACCAGCGTGGCTGAAGTAGCTCTGCAGCTCACTGCAGACACAGAAGGAGCTTCTGCTCCCTTATTTCCTGCAAAATTATAACTGCTGGCCAAGCTCACACTGCAGATAAAAACTCAGGAAGCATCCTGCAGAGCTCTCTGTGACAGTCCACAGACACCTATGGATGCTTTTATTTTCTTATTTGCTGACTTCGGAGTGTTATGTTGAAATGGCTACTAAAGAGCCAGAGGAGACTACTAGAGAGGATTCTAAAGCTGGAAATTACCAGTGTTCAAGGTTTCTGTGCTCCAATATCCACTGCTAGATGGGGTCAGACCCAACAGCCTGTTAGCCCAGTGCCTTGCAACCTGATGCTCTGGGAACTCTGGAGCAGGAATGTGTTACTCCATCACACTTAAGCCCTCTCCTGGAGCCTGGATGTTTCCTGAACCAGGGATGGTGTCTCTCTTTTCATATCCCTCAGGGCTGTTCACCTCGCATGGGCCCATCTGTAACAGGAGCTGTTTAAAATTAAACATGTGATGGCAGGATTTAGTGGGATATGGTGCGTTCAGCCTCGGAGCAAATGCAAATTGTTATTTTCCATTAAAACAGATAGGGCTGGGCTTGCAACATGCTTATTTGGATGATGCCCACCAGTCTGAGAAACCTGAGAAAAAAAATTCTGTTCCTGTTTTGCTCTGTGGGGTTTTATGAAAATCCCACTTTATGCTCTTTTGTACTTTATGCACATAATGAGCCACAGAACTGTGTCCCTTCTGTTTACCACAAACCCCTTTGCTCTCAGTAGAGCCTTTTGGTGGTTTCTGTAGTATTTGGAGGACCTGGCCGCTTGCAAGGGTTCTGTGTCCTCATTAATTTTAATTTCTCAGTATTTCAGTGCTGTTCTTCCCAAAAGTAGCTGCATTTAACTGACTGTTGAGCTTAAAGCCCCTCTCTGCATCTTGAAAAAAATTCTTGGTAGGGGACTTATTTTCTGGGATTGATTACTTTTTTCTATCTGACTTTACTTTTCCCCTCTCTTCTTGTCATGGTGGTGTTAAAACATCTGTACTGGGATGCTGGGCAGGGGGTGGCCTTGCCAGTGCACTGTTCCCCCAAAACTGAGGTTTGGGGTTATCTGTTACTGGTGTGCAAGGTTTAAAAGCTCTTTGGCTATTTGGAAAATAGATTTGTTCCCCAGAAACCTCCAGAAACCCTCATGGAGGCTTTGCTGTGTGTTCCCACAGGGCTTCTTGTGGCTTCACTCCACCCTCTTGATTCCCCTATGGATGGGTGGATGGGGGAAAGGGAGATGCATGTGGTGTCCTGAGAAAGGCAATGTCTTCCTGCTTCTCCCCAGACAGATGAGTGGAAAGGCAAAAACACAATAGCAGTGACTACTGATACAGCCTAAATACATTGTTTTTGCATCATATAAATCTGGGAAATTTATCTGTAATTTGCAGGCTGGGAATACATCAGTATTCATTTGAGCCTCTGAAAACAAATACAGTATTTGGTCTCAGGGAAATGCTGGGGTATATCATCCCCTATGGGGTTTACTGGAATAATACTCTTTATTCTGCAGTAGGGGAATCCTTGCCCCAGCTGCTTTGAATGTCCTATTGTGCAGTAAACTAACGAAAAAATACTTGTTTCTGTCAGTCTGTGTCCTGTTACAAACATCCAGCGTACCCAGAACCTTAAACCCCAGTGTTGGCTACCTAGACTATTACTTTCTAATGTATCAACTAGTAATTAAAAATAAATGTTATATATTGCTACAGCCTTTAAAACTCGTTCTTCTGCTGTGCTTTCATCTTAAACTGCTGCTCTTTCTTCTTCTGCCTCCCACTTTCCCTGGATACAGATGGTTTTTCCCCACCTCAGTCATGGATTTCTGGCTAATGATCAGCTCGTCTTTAGCCGGCGAGTGCTCAAGGTAGACTCCAAATCTGCTGCCACTGGTTTGCTGTGATTGAGCTGCTTTTGCTTTCTCTTTCTGGCTGACTGTTGCTATTTTAAATTGCCACAACCATGGCTGTGTTTAGAGATGCTTGTTGGAAATTTTAACTGAAATCCCATTGGAATTTAGGGGGCAGGCATTGTCAGAGTAAAGGGATATAAAACTAATGGGTTTTAGAATTTGGTTCTTTTTGAGATTTGGGAATCAAGCAGCAAAGTCCTGTAAATTTGATATAAACAGTGTGGGTATTGTAAAATAAAATGCATTAAAACTAGAGTAATCTAAATCCTTGAACTCTAAATGGGACATTGTAATTAGGAAAAATTCAGTGGGAGACTCAACTTGACATAATTGCTTGCAGTGTTCAGCATTTACAATTGGGTTTTTTTAAAAAGGATGCAAGTGATTTAGGAGCCCAGATCTTGTTGAAAGGCCATGGGACTTGTGCTGCTAAGTCACTTAAGGACTTCTGAAAAATCCCACACTTGTCCCTGATTTGAGGGTGGACCGCATATTAAACCCAGCCCTCGGAGCGCCTGGTGGTGACTCTCCCAGATGTTGCTACAAGATTTACGAGGCCGCCTTTCCCATTGTGCAGCCGATGGATGGGCCAGGCCCCAGGGCTGGGCTGGGCTGGGCTGGCTGGTGGGGGGCCAGGAGCTGATTCCCAGCCTGGAATCAGCCCCACAGGGTGCTCCCTTTGGGAATGGCACCCAGCAGACCCGCAGGGACACAGCGACACCCAAAATCCGCAGGGCGCGAGCGGCTCGGGAGGTTCCTGTGTGACCGTGGCTGTCTGTAGAGGATGACATTAAGCACTGCCACTTTTTGTGTGGTTTTCTGGCGTGGTGCACTGAGCCATGGCAGTGTGTGCATGCTCCCTGCCAGCATGGTGTGAGCCTGGGCTGCTCTGGGTGCTGTTGGGTTGGTGGATTCCATGCAGACAATCACTGGGTAAGGGCTTAAGCAGATTAAATCTCATTGTCGAGCACAATTCTGGTTGAGGAAACAGACCCAAATGGCATAAATTGGTGAGCTCACTTTCATCTTTCCCAGCTGCAGTTGGGAAAGCTGAAAGCTGAACAGTTGGAAGCTGCAGTTAAATTTCCCTGGGCCAGCAGAGGCCAGGGTGCTGGGGGCCCAGGGATGCAGTGCATGTGACCCTGAGAGCGCCCCTTGCCAACACTGCTTCATCTCACCATGTCTGTGTGAACTTCTTCCAGGGTGATCAAGGTCGAGATGGAGCCACGGGCCCCCCTGGTCCGCCAGGACCCCCAGGTGCCCGGGGGCCTCCTGGTGACACGGGAAAGGATGGCCCCAGAGGACCTCCAGGCTCCCCTGTAAGGACGGGAGATGCGCAGCGAGCACCAGGCAGCTCCCACCCCACGAGGGACAGCGGGGTGAAGGGTGTCCCCTTCCCAGGGCTGCCACCACAGCCACTGAGTCCCCAGCCTGAGCCACAGCTGGGCTCCAGAGGCTGCTCACAGAGCCAAGCCTCAGGGTGTGGGGCAAGGGAGCAGGAGGGCACTTTCCCTCTCACAGTTTGGAACACAGAGCTGGACCTGGGGCTTGTGTTTGCAGGTGCTGGTTCTAACTCACACAGCCAGGAGATCTCTTCCCCAGTTCATACCCTTTGGATGACCTGTTGCAAATCTGAAGACCACTGGCAATTTATTTAGTAAAAAATAGCTAAAGCATAGCGCAGTGGAACATTCTAATTATTGCTGAGCATTTTGGAGGATGAGAGGTGATAGTTCCAATGTTGGTCTTTTTGGTTTTTGCAGGGTTTCAAAGGCGAGCCAGGAGAGGATGGAGTCATGGTCAGTATTGCCCAGAAGGATCTCTGTGTGTGCCCCTCACCCCCACTGTACATCACCCTTCAGCTCACTGCAGCAAGGGGGTTTGTGTCATTGCTTATGGAGGACAAAAAACCCCGCATGGAATTATAGGTGCCCTAAAATGGATGTTTGTCCAGGGCTACCTGTGCCCTGGGGAGAAAAGAGGCCAGTTTTTGTGTCCCTGGGCTCTTCTGGAGGGATGTGGTGCTCCTGTATCCTAACTCCTGCCCCTCTGAAGCCACCTGGCATTGTGACTCCAAATTGCTAAGGTTTACATTGGATAAAATGGTGTTTACTATACATAAAATACATGAGCCATAAAAGGATATTATTTACTGGGAGCACAGAGAACAAACACAGCTCTGTTTGTAAGGGAAGGTGAGAAGTTGACATCTGTGTCATTTTTTTCCTTGGAATTAAAATACTCTTAGAAATGTTGTTATCCTGTTTTACTCTGTTGTCAAACAAGTATATCTATTACTCTTATATTCAACAGGGTGCCAGAGGACCTCCAGGACCAAAGGTGGGTAATAATCTGCCTAATTTTAACATGAATTCTTGAAATAATGCTGCATAAGAGGGGTGAGGATGAAAATAAGCATTTTGCAGTGGACTTGAACCCATTGATGTATATCAGACATAAAATTCCAAGGCATGGACTGGGTGTAAATGTCTGAATGTGTCACTTCCTCAATATCACATCCACTGCCCATGCTCAAAACTGGAAATGGGCTGGAGGGAGCTGCAGGGGGCTGCAATCTGCTGTGCTGTGGGAATGTGCTTTCTTTTGGGGGGGATAAATATGATCAGCATAAGCCAAGGATTTTAATTTTGCAACTAATTTTGATTATCCACAAAATTTGCCTTATTTTCTGTCATGTTCCTAAATTTCTTTCTCTTCTGTTGATGTTGCTGTTGAAGGGTGAGCCTGGTGTCCAGGGGAAAAAGGTAAAGTGGTGATTTTTAAAATAGGTTTAAATTATTATTATTATTATTTAATTCCTTTATTTCCCTTTGCTTTGCTCTGGGCTTGGCTCGGGAAACCATTGCCAGAGGCTGGTGTAGAAGCTGTGGTCGTGGCTGTCCACACCAACCCTTCCCTGTATTCCCTAAGTTTCCCTCCCACACCATCCTGGGCTGGGCATGGCTGTGCCTGCAGCCTGGCTTTCATTTCCACAAGCAAGCCAGAAGCTGCAGCCACATCTGCCCAACAGACAAAGAATAAAACAGCACATGCCAAGCAAAGCAGTAGGTCTGGAGCCCTTTCTCTCCAATAATTCAATGAACCAAGAGGTGCCTGGAGGATGTGCTCTGCCCAGGGAATGGGTCTGGAATTCCTGGGATGGCCATCACCAAGCAGCACTGCAGTCCCATGGGAAATGTCCTCTTGAGGGCCAGGAATGCTGCTGGGGTGTGGCAGTGAAGATTGTGAGAGATTCACATGCCCAAACTCTCCACCCCAGTGGTGCCATTGAGAAGTGGATAAATCACTGCCTTTAAGAGAAGTCAAAGCACTGACAGGGCCCAGCCTTTCCCTTTTACTGTTTGGCCCAAAACAGGGGTGGCCATGGGCTTTTTTTCAGGCCAGAATGTGGCTTTAACATTTCATAACTGCCTGGTAAAACTAATCTCGTCAGCATCCATGAAGTGATTTTACTCCAGGAGAACATCAAAGCACAAGCAAAACCAAAAAACCTCCTCCTGGCAGAGAGTGTTGGTGGTTTGTGATGAAGTCCATGAAGCAGCTACAGGAGGCCTTTGGGACCCAAAAAGCCTTAAGGAATTGAATGTTTAGTTCCTGCTGAAGGTGGGAGAAGACCTTTGCCAGGGCCTGCTGTAAGCAAATTCTGGAAGATGCCCATCCACCTTCCCAGGATCAGGGGAGGCAGGGCTGGGTGGGAGCAGGGGACCACGCTGGAGCCTCCTGTGCTCCTTGCTGCAGCTCTGTCCTGGTTGCCTGCAAACCTGAGAGACTTTTGGGTCTGTGCAACACCCAGTGAGGTCAACTGATGTGTTGGAACCTGTGTACAAGGCCTGTGTATTTCACTTTTTGTATTTTGTTCCATCAGGGCGATGATGGGATCCCTGGGGAGCCAGGACTTGTGGGCCCTAAGGTACGTTCTGCTCTGTCCCTCTAATGCACGTGTTGGGCAGCATCTTTTGCTGTCTGGTTTTTGCAGCATATCACAGCAGGGGCAGGATGAGGAACATTTCTCCTCTGGTGTGGAAAAAGATCAAAAAACTGTGAGGGTGGTGAGGCCCTGGCACAGGGTGCCCAGAGCAGCTGTGGCTGCCCCATCCCTGGAAGTGTCCAAGGCCAGGTTTAACAGGGCTTGGAGCAACCTGGAACAGTGGAAGATGTCCCTGACCATGGCAAGTGTTTGGTACTGGATGATCTTCAAGACCCCTTCCAACACAAAACATTGTACATTTATTATTCTATGCTGTGGTTTTGGGGCCAGCTTCATGGCTGAACACACCACCTGCAGCCAAACTGCTGAATCTGAAAGCTTCACTCTTATCTCAAAAACTCCCCGTTTGCACCTGGGTAAGGTGAAGTGTTTCACAGCTGAAAGCAGAGCTCTGCTCCCTTGTGTATGTAAAATGAAGATAAATTAAGAAAATGCTAACCTGAAGAAATCTTTCCTCCATCCTCTCTGTGCAGCATTTGTCTAAAGGGCTTTGTTTTCAGGGAGAAAAAGGAAGCGTGGGTCCCAAGGGAGAGAACGGCACAGATGGCTTCCCAGGAATAAAGGTAAGGAAAAGCTGGAACTCTGGGCACAGCACTGCTGAGGCACAGGATTCCATCTGAGGAGGTGTTTTGGATCTTTGCCTTCTAAAAGCCTCATAATGTGCCAAAACTGACACGAAAGGAGTGATATTAAGAGTGTTTTAACTTTTCCTGGTGATTTGATGAAAGCCTGGTTCAAGCAGAGATCAGTATAAGAGCTTGTAAGTCATCCACTTGCACATTTTCCACTGAATTGCCTTTTTCCTCAAAAGCTGTGGAATTCTAATCACATTTTGATCCCATGTTATTGATGGCTGTGGAATTGCTTCAGAGCCCCAAGCACTTGTGAGCTGTCCTGTTCTCCTGACCTCCAAAGCTGCCGAGAGATAAAATTAGTCTGGGTTTGTTGAGTGGTGCTGAGGAGACCTGGACACATCCATGGGCTGCTATTTACCTCCTCAGCTGCTTTATATTTAGTAGGATCTGGATGCACTAATATTTTCTATATCAGAGAGTCATGATCCCTTGTTGGGCAAGACAGTGTGTGTGAGGAAGAAAGTGAGCTCTGGTGAACTTTAGTAAACTTTTTCTAGAACCATAGTAGCAGTGCTGATTGAATTCAGGTTTTTTCTATACATTTTTACCATTTTTTACTTTTTGGAGATCTTTAATTTGGTCAGCAAGGGGATCAACATGGGTGTGACAAATGGGACATCTTTTGAATCCTGAACAGAATTTCAGATCATTATTGTAAGAGTGCTATGACTTTTTAAAACCCTCCAATTAAAAAAAAAATTATGAAAAGGAGAGTAGGGGAAAAAATAAAAAGGAGGAAGAAAAAAGGAACAATTTGGCACAGAACTTTTCCTTAAACTCCCTCTTGAAAATGGTTTAAACATCTCAGCTGAAACTTTCCACATGCAAAACTCAGCCTGAAGCAAAGGGTTCCATGTGGAACCAGCACAAAGAGATGGAGCTCGGCACACAGGGCAGGGAGAGCAGCACAGCCCATACAGGGAGCTCAGCCCCGGGCTGGCCACTCCCCTCCCCTGCAACGAGACCTCCTCTTACTCCTCTTACTCCTCTTGTTGTTACACCAACGTTGTTTTTTGCTAAATATATTCCCTCTCAGGTCAAATCTATTTTCTGCTAGGAGAAGCAGTCCCTTGTTGGTGTCATAATTTTTCTTAATCTAAAGCATATCTGTATGGGTGGGTACAGTATTTTTAAGATAAATATTTTATATTTTCCTTGGTCTCATTGAAAAAGTGATTTTTGATTTTCAGGGTGAACCTGGTGAGAAGGGAGGAATTGGCTCCATTGGACCCCGGGTATGGATGTTCAGGATTTTGTCTCAACCTTAGCTGTTCCCCACCACCTCTTTCTGCTTAGTATGTGGATGAATTGCTTCAGGATCTGTTCAGTGTCAGAAAATAGAGATGGTGCATATTTAAACAAATGATTGCACAGGTATTGAATGCTGGCATGGGAAATCAGTCAAGTCCAATTTTCTTATAGTCATGACCATTCTGTGACCCTTTTTTCTGCAAGAGGGAAGCTGGGAATAGGGGTGATCAGGTGAGGATTTTTATGCTCTTCTCCATTACACAAACTGAGGTTTGACAGTTCCAGCTGTCAGACTAAGGACTGGTTAAATCCATGCTGTTTGTAAGGTGATAACCCCCAAACGCTGCGTGTCAGGTCTTTGCTTTCATAGCAGCCACCTCTCCATGCTGTAGGATTAAATAGGATTCATCCCTGCCTGCAGGGTCCCCCTGGGCTGAAAGGGGAGCAGGGAGACACCGTCGTGATCGACTACGACGGCCGAATCCTGGACGCGCTCAAGGTAAGCCCTGCGCCAGGGCTCGTGGGAAAGGACTGAAATCTGCCAAGCTCTGCCACGGTGGCAATGTGTCCACCCTTGTCCTTGTCTCCTCCTGAGTTTTCTGTCTTGGCACAGAGCTGGTTGGGAGGGAAGAAAGAGTTGATTGCATCTGAGGGCTGAGGATATTTATGGTGTAGCAGCAAAAGCAGTGGCGGAGCTCAATGGCAGCAGTTGGGGTGTGGGAGGAAGGGGAGCAACACCTGAGCCTTAACCTGCCCAACTGAACAGTGCCCTGACCTTTTCATTAGGACGAAATAAGCTGAATAGAATAAACACTTAATTACAGGCATATTTGAGAACCATCCTAATTGTTTTATAACAGGCTGCAGGGATACACAAAGTGCTGGTAATTTCCGTTTGCCAGATGTCCGCGTGGCACGCAGCTTTGGGAGTGGAGTGCCGTGGTTGGAGAGCCTCCATCAAATGTCTGGAGGCTTCATCTGCTGGATCCAGACCCTGTCCCTTGTTCTGCATGCAGAAACTGCTGAGGGGCACATCACTGAACCTCACTAACTTTGCTGTTTTCCTGCTTACTCGCTGTTTGCAGTGTTTGTGCACTGACCTGTCTCAAGAACAAGCTCTGGAAAGTTTTGCAGTGTGACTAAGTGTAACAGCATTTGAGTGTGCAGCCATGGAGAAAGGTGCTCCAGGATATGATACTGGTTTGGCTTCCATCTGAGCAAGACCACAAATTTTGCTGCTTGAAATAATTTGCAAGTTGGAAAATATTTGTTCATTTCAAGGTGGTTTGTGGTCTTTGCATCCAGCAGTGCCCAGGGAAAATAACTTCTTTAAGTGTGCAAGGTTTTCCTGTTGTTAGTGCTCACACAAACTCCTTTTTTCCCCTCTTTAATTGCACCTCCCTGGCTGGCTGACACTGTTTTCAGCACGATGCTGCTTCCCAGGCTGGCTGGTGGAGCAGGCAGGATGCAAAAAGAGACCATCAGATTGGGGTCCCACATCCAGCTAAAGGCATTTTGCCTCTTAGCCCATGTCTGCAGCTGTACACCTGACTGGCTCCCACTGTGTTGTGTTCTGCATGAACAACCCCGTGGCAGAGGAGCCTCGGGCACTCTGTGGCAGCTGAGCTCATCTCGGTGCTCAGGCAATCCGCTCACCTGAGTGTCTCTGGCAGATCGTGGCTGGGAGTGCTCATCCCCACAGCATGAGCACAGCCATGTCCATGCCAGCCACGATCAAACCTGTTTTGTTTGTGTTTCAGGGTCCACCAGGTCCCCCAGGGCCACCGGGCCCCCAAGGCACTCCAGGTCCCAAGGTGAGCCTGGCCTCTGCCAAGCTGCGTGGTCATTAGTAGCTCTCCATGAGGAGTCTCCCAGCCAAAATAAGGCAGTTGAAGCTGCCTGTAAAGGCAGTTGAGGCTGTGTGTGCTATTTAGTCCTTTCTCTGACTGAAAAAACAGTGGCTTTCACACAAAAGCCAAAATTGTCTTGACCTGTCTCTGGCCTTCTTCCAGAGGATGCTGTCCCAGAAATTATTCCAGTCCCAGTTCCACACCTGACAGACAAATCCCAGCTCCTCTGAGACTGCCCCATTTGTCTGTGTCAGGAGGCAGAAGTGGGAGAAGCAGTGGTGAGAGGGGCTGGCAGTCCTGTGGCTGTGCTGAGCCACCCTCATTCCCACCCTCCCTGTGTGCTGTTTGCTGTCCCAGCACTGTCCCAGGACCTGCTGTCCTCCTGCTTCACAAGCAAGAGTCTGTAACCTGTCACCAGCTGTTTCTTTAAAAGAATAATGTAATTTGTAGAAAAGTATATCTTGAAAGAATAGGATGGGACAGGATTTCAGTGCCTTTTGAGGTCTCTGTGCCAATATCCAGATCAGCTGGTGATGCTGGTGGGTCACTGACGCCTCCTTGGTCCTAAGCCTGGCAGTGGCAAACCCATAACCACAACAGTTGTGTGTGAATAACTCATTTCTTTGCACAATGCTTTCCAAGGATGAATCCTTCATTTAATTTACCACGGGCTCCCCTTTCTTTGTCTCCCTCCAGGGAGAGCTGGGCTTGCCAGGTCCACCTGGAATGGATGGTGAAAAGGTGAGTGAGGCACGGCCGGATCGAGCGAGGCCCTGCCAGGAGCCAAATGAAAAGGAAGTTTCCTGTGTGTCTGAAAAGCAAATCCAGCATGCCAGGAGTGAGCTCTGCTGTGTAGGGGCAGCTGTGTCTCTCTGAATTGATGGCCCTTTGCCTGCAGCCTCTGCTCTGCTCTGAGCGTGCTGATGCTGCTCGTGGCCACGTCTGCCGAGCTAAAGGGGCTCCTTTCACAAGCAGCTCATCAGATGCTGTCTCAAATCTTTTTTGTAAACCTTCCCAACCCCAAATGGCTGCAATCCCTCCTGCAGCCCAGCCAAATTCTGCTGCACCCTCAAAATTGGCATCTGTGAGGTTGAGTGTTAAAACATGTTCTCATGAGCCCGCGATGCGGAGGGAACAGCAGAAAGGCAGAAGTGGCTGCTGTGGGTCTTGTTTTAAGAGTTTTCTCCTAAACATGTTGTATTCTCTCAACTTGCAGGGTCCCAAAGGAGCAAAGGGTGACCAGGGCAGCATGGGGACCACGGGGCAGAAAGGAGAGACAGGAGAAGTGGGCTCAGCAGGTCCCCCGGTACGTCCCTCTGGCTGTCCCTGTCCCTCTGCTCTCGGTTCTTTGATGAATGATTGTTGCAAATGCTCAGAATGGGGCTGGGTTGGCTGATTTAAGCAATGACCTCTCCACACCACCTTCCTGTGGAGCTTTGAGTTTCCATTTCTAATCAGCTTATTCAGAATGTATCAAGGAGGAGAAAATATTTCTTCAAGGTCCCCTAGAGATGACCACGAGCTTTGCTTGAGCCAAGGCTGGTGTTTAGAGGGAGACAAACCTATTTTTCTCTCATTTTGCTTTCCTGGAAGATGCACCACGTCAGTGCCACATTTTTATCTTTCAGGGAGCAGAAGGGCCAAAAGGAGACAGAGGAGAAAAAGGAGACACTGGGTCACCATGTCTGCAGAATAATCATGTAAGATCTTGGCAACATAAAGCCTCTTTCATGGCATGGGATCAGGCAAAGTTGGGGGTGGAGGATACACCCACCAGACCCATATCCATCAGCAAATCCCAACTGTTTTCTACAAGTGTCTAAATGGGGTTTATTCCTTAGGGAAGAGCAGTTCACACACTTAACACTACAAAGTTATTTCGATTTTGTATTGGTGGCTGAGATATTGGATGCTGCTGCCATAATCAATGGGGCATTAAATAATGATTCTGGGCTTTGTGAGGCTCCCACTCCTGACAGCCTTGTTAATGTGCTGCTTAATTCCCTTCTGCAGATCATACCTGAGCCTGGACCCCCTGGATTACCTGGCCCTATGGTAGGACTCTGAAGTGATTCCTGCAGATTTGTTATTGTATGTGATAAAGGACAAGGGTGGTTTGTTCTGTTTAGTTATTGTGGGCTGTCTTAAATCTGGGAAAAAAATCAGGGAAGTGTTACAGTCTGATCTGTCTTTGGAGAAATTAAAGCACCCGATTTAGGAGAGTACATCAGAGTTTATGGCTCATTTTGCAAAAATCCAAGGTGTTCCTTGGGAGAAAAGATAAAATCTTGTGGGATGGAAAATCTGTTCCCCATCATGACAGTGTCTGCATTCCCCTAAATTCACCCAAGTCATGAAGTTTTCTGCCATCAGCTGCACTGGGAGAGAATGCAGGTGGTGGTGAACACACAGAGCATTTTTGATGGAGACATCAAAGGGGTTTGGTGCCTACAGGGCTCCAAGAGGAGCTGTCAGGGACTTTGGGAAGGCTGGGATGCCTCTGCTGGGCCCAAGATTCACCTTGAGAGACCACGCTTCAAAAGCAAGTGGCATTCCAGGTGGCATTCACAGCCTGGGAGGTATCCCAGCCCTGCCCAGGTGTGGAGGGCTGTGTTGGCACAATGCCATCCCCAAAGCTTCCTGTCACTTTCTTCAGCAAAGATTCTGGGGACTCTCACTCCCCAGAGCTTGTGTTGCAGAGCATTATTGCCCCATCTTACACAGAATGCTCTTTTTCAGTTCCCCTGGCCTCTGATTTGATACTGGAGAACAAAATAAACTGCCACCTGTCTTGAAAATAAGTATTTGACCATTGTCAGTCTGTAATTTGAGCAATAAATGATTTGGGAAGGAAAGTTTAGAGTATGTTTTTAAATTCTGGGTTTTTTCATATGCACCACTGTCTTTCCCACAGGGTCCTCCAGGAATCCAGGGGCCTAAAGTAAGTCAATAAATTAAATGTCACCCAGTTTCCCAGCTGCTAGTGCATTATTTACAGGCTCACAAAGGCCTGTCAGCTCTGGAGACTGAGTTTTTTGTCACTGTTGTCACAACACATCTCTTGGTTACACTGTTCAGCAGTTGGCATTTTGGAAAACAAGCCATTTTCCCTTCCAAGCATTTACAATCCAAACCCCTCCTCCAGCACAGAGTCCTGAGGGCTGGTGAGAGCCAGGGTTTCCAAACCAAAAGGCTTAAAACCTGTATTTTCAGCTATTTTCTTATATGCTGTGGTCAAGGGCAAAACATCTGCAGCAGTGTGGGTGTGAGCACCCCAGAGAAGGGGTGGGAGGAGGTGGGTGCATGAGGGGCTGCCCTGGGCACAGCTGCCAGGGCTCCTTGGCTGATCCACTTCATGTCTGCAGGGTTTGGATGGTGCAAAGGGAGAGAAAGGTGACACTGGTGAGAAGGGGGACCAAGGTGACACCGGACCTGCTGTGAGTTGTTTTCCCAAATCTCATTTCTGGCTGTTGACAGAAACCTGTCTCACAGGAAACAATCCCAATGTTTTGTTTCTTTTTAATTTAAGGGTCTCCCAGGTGCTCCAGGGCTCATTGGTTTACCTGGTACCAAAGGAGAAAAGGTAATCATGGGTGTGGGAGAGGAGCAGGGACATTGGGGTGCATCCTAAAATAGGGGCTGTAAAATCCTGCTTGGGGAGTCCAGCCAGAGCTGCAGAGCTGGACCAGCACTACCCTGGTGGGTGGCAAAGGAGCAGCCTCCAGTCCCAGGGGCTCCTGGATGAGCCCATGCCCTCACGACCACGTTAAACCAACTGGATCTGAGTTTGTCTGCAGCACCAAGCTCAACACAGCACATCTTAATTTTTATTTTTACATCTGCAGGGAAAGCCAGGGGAGCCAGGATTGGATGTGAGTATGGAAATCATTAATTATTCGTGGTAGAAACACAAGTAACACACACCTAACTTGAGATTGTTGGGAAAATATGTAGCTAACACTGCATACACTGGTCCCCCTTAAACACAATGGCCATGGAGTGATGGCTGTAGGAAAGGGCTGAATTTGGACTCTGAATTTGGGCTACTTCCACTGCACAGTGGAACTGCTCACCTAAAGGTGCTGCCAGGGCTTCCCTTTCCAACTGAGAATATTTGTATTGGATTCAGTGACATGAAAATTTCTAATAGCTGTGATGTTACTGGGGTGTGGTGAAGCACTCCGTTTTTCCAAGAAATTGCTGACAATACCACATCAACAGGAAGAAAATGTCATTCTTCACCGTGGCAGGACAGGCTGATGGCTGGAATTGGCTCATGTTGAACTGAGCCATTCACACACTAAACTTACAAAATCTTCTTTTTTTTTTTTTTCCTTTTTTTCCTTTTTCCCACCTAAAAATTGTGGTGACAGGGTTTCCCCGGTCTCAGAGGAGAGAAAGGAGAGAGAAGTGAAAGAGGCGAGAAGGTGAGTGGGTTATGGCTGTGTTGATGCTTGTGGGGCAGGACACGCTGCTCTTTTTGGCAGGCAGTGCTGCTTGCCCTGGAGCCACTGCTGAAAGGCCTTCTGTGCAGCCCAAGGATTTGCAAATTCCCAGGACAGGACAGGCAGTTATTCCTACCCACTTGGAAGGGTTTTTGCAAGCCTGCCCCCACCCCACCCCAGCCCAGCCCAGCTGTGGGGAAATGGAGCAGCCTGACAGCTCCAGGTTGCACAGAATCGCTGGTCTTGGTTTATAGACCTTGAAAATGGATCCAAGTCAAAGGTTTTGTTACAGGGACCTTTAAACAAAGGGGTACCCAGGTGGAGCCAGGAGCCCAGCTGAGCACAGGGCAGTAGCTGGAAGCTGCTGCTCCCACTTGCTGTCAGATACCAACCTGGGCTCCAGCAGAAACTGCTCAGTTAGTCAATCTGCTATAAAATTATCTATTACAATATTTCCACCCAGCTTTAACTGAAGATTTTCACAGTGATTTCACTGCTCAGCTGAGGTCACACTAGTGCAAGTGTCCTTACTCTGTGTGTGCACTGGGACTCTGTAAGTGCTGTGAGACATGAACTAAAGGTGTTTCTTCCCCTTGCTCCTGCTATCTTCCTGTTGTTCTGACAGGGTGAACGAGGAATACCAGGGAGAAAAGGGGCCAAAGGACAGAAGGGGGAACCAGGCCCCCCCGGACTGGATCAGCCTTGTCCCGTGGTACGTCTTTCATTTCACTCGTCCTAAGCATGGGGCTGAAAAGGAGACACAGCTTTGCAGCCAGGGAGGATTTGGGAGTTCTCTCTTTTGCAGTAAATCAGAGCAGATGGTTATTGTTTTCTCACTTTTCTTAATGGTTTATCTGCACTGCTGGAAGTTCACTGCTCGCTGTAAGGGCTCCTCACTGGCCAGATGGGAGCAAGCCACAGCAGTAAAAATAAAGCATCTTTGTGTAAAGACCTTCTTATTGTAGTCAGGAACAATGGACCTCAGTAGAGCTCTTCAGGAGATAGTGTGATGCTGCTGGCTTGGCTTCTGAGCATGTTTGAAATCAGGGAGTAACTGGGTGCAGGGGATGGGAGCTGATCTGAAAACAAGGCCAGCTCCATCCCTTCCCTTCATCCCTGCAAACTGAGCAAGGGATGAGCCAGGGGAAGCATGTTGGGGTTGATAGCATCACAGCTCTGTCAAGCATAAGTGATGCATGAGCTGGAGCTCCCCAGGCTGCCAAGAAGTGCCTCTGGGAGGAGACCTCCCCTGGTTTCTCTGCCTGTGGCTCAGAGCTGTCCCTTCCCAGACACACCCCGGGCCACCGCGGCTTTCCAGGAAACCTCCTGGGTGTTTGAGCCTGGGGAAGCTGGATCTCTCAAGTTCACTTCCTTAACCTCTTATTCATTAGAGAGAGCCCGTCAAAAAAAAAAAAAAAAATCTAGAGTGGTTTATAAAAAGTTATTTGACCTGGTAAAATTTACCTCTTTTTTACTACTGTTTCTCATATAATGACTAAAGGTAGAGAGATCCTTTCCCTGAAGTGCTTTGAAGCTGCAGGATGAGAAGTTTCAAATATGGAACTGAAACTGCTTAAACATAACTGTTTAGAACTTTTAGAACTTAGTCCAGAAGCACCGAATTAAGAGTGCCAGCTGCTTGCTCCATGACAATTCAAAAACCCATTTCTTTGAACATGTGACTTTTCCCCATTCTCTGAGCACAGCCATGGTAGCCAAGGCTGTTTTGTAGCTCCACTACACCAGCAATAAGCTCCTTTAGTCAATATGCTTTATTTTGCCTGGAGATTGAATGTGAACTGCAATTTTTTCCTCTCTCGACATGTTGGGTGATTTACCCTTTATCTCTTTAACTGCACTTTTACAAATGTGAATCTCTGGTTTGTGTACAGAGGATCTTTCCCAGATGACAGATTCTGCATGTCATGTGAATTCCCTACCATAAAATCACTCTGCTGACTCGCTGTGTCATCAGAAATGGAGCTGTGAAGCTCTAGACCCATCCTCCTCCCCCTGTGCTGAAACGTGGGTGTCTGTCTGTGTAACTCCTGTGTCCTTTATCATTCTCAACAAGCAGTTATTTTTCCAAACAGGGAGGTCATAGCATTGCAGGCAGCAAAAGGGATCCAGGTTTGCCAGGCCTGGATGGGGTGAGCCTGCCCTGCCCTTTGGTACAGTATCTGCTCTGTCTTGCATGGTTTGTGTGTGTTCCTGCTGTGGCCAAGCCCTGACCCCAGGAGCAAACCCCTCCAGGGACAAGAAGGACACAGGGCAGCAGAGCTGGAACAAGATGTTTCACTCTGGCATTTGGGGAAGGCTGCCAATGAGTTGTGCCTCCTTCTTCCCAGTTAAAATTACTTTAGATAGGGAGTGTAAATCTTGGGAGATCATGCAGGGGATGCCAGTCCCTTTATGGTAACAGATGCTGAAAGTTAGTTATGGTTTCCCTCAGTGCCTATGGCCCAATTTGGTTCCCCTTGTGCTGCTGCAGCCCCGAGCCCCATCCCCAGCTGGGATTTGAAAAGCTTTCCTCAAGCAAACAGTCCTGCAGAGCAGGGCCACTGGCACTCTGGGCACCAGAAGGGTTTTGCTGTGTCAGCACAGAGCTCTGCTCAGGTTGAGTCCAGTGCTTATGCAGGAAGGTTCGTGCTCTGCTCCCCAAAAGGGCTCTGCACCACTAGCTAAGAGAGGTCATTGTTTTATTTTCATTTTTTTAACCATAGAAAATGCTGCATGTTAGATGATTTGCAGTTGTCCTCAGAAAAACAAAAGGGCAGTAAGCTGTTTCTCTTTCAAAAAGTTAAATTACTTTCAGATGTGTCCAAGAAACCAATTCCTAACTTCAGGCCTGCTCTAACGTTTTACTTACTCCCCAGAGATGTTCTATTTCCCAAGCATCTCCCATCTTAACTACACAGAAAACACAGGACCCATCTCTGTTGAAGGCACTGTAAGCTGCAGTGGGTGATTCCTCCAATTAACTACAACGTGACCATTTAGCAAAGCACTTGTGCATTTTCCTGGTTAGTTGCAGGTTGCTTGAAATGTTGACTTTGTTCTGCAGCCCAGGGTGCAGAGGAGGCTTGCTGGGCTTTCAGTCCAGGAGCATCAGCATGAGCCCCACACACAGCCACGAAGAGTCATTTTGGAGTCACTCATGTGAAATATGGTAGAAAGGTGTGGAGTTTTATGATGGCCAAAATAAGTATTCTGAGTGCACAAGAAAGAGAAGTAGCTCAGGGCAGAGATAAACCCCCTGACCATCAGTGTCAGGGAGCACCTTAACAGCAGGTCAGCATGTTTTAGGTCAAACAACCACTCTGTCCCCTGTACCCATCACCCCAGACAACTCTGGCAAATGTACATGTTCTACCCCCTTTTTTTCTAATAGCTTTGGACCAAAATATTGACTGTGTCTGCAGAAAAAAATGTGTGTTTTCTAACTAAGGTTACAGGATAGCATGACTGCTTACACTCTGAGTAGCTGGAGAGGGTTACCTTACTTCACTGCATCTGTTTTATTGGGCATAGGCTATTTTACATATAAAATCAATACAGAATACAAAAAAATGTGATGACTAACATTTACAGTAAAAAATGTAAAATTGCATTTTGACCTGTATTTGCACTAGCAGTTCTCTCTGCTGCATCCACATCTTCCCAGCCCTAGTGAGTCTGGAGGTGGCTCTGAGGGAAGGGTCAGTGCCTGTGTGCTCTCTGTGGCTCTACATGCAGAAATTCATGTAACTGGAGATCCAAGAGCCTTAAACAAATCCAGCATCAGGAAAGGCAGCTGAAGGCAGCTATTTCTTCTGAGGTGTCTTGAGAGAGCTGGTCATACATAACTCGTTCCTCTTCTGAGGGCTCCTTCCTTTCCAGTGTTCTCCTGGAGTGAGAGCTCTTCTGGCTTTCTGATTTTTGTATGTTTCTTGTATCTCCAGTGGAACAAGACAAATATTTTCACTCCCTTTGCATAGTCCATAACTCATCCTATTCTCAGTTCAACAACTCAAGATTTCTTAAAGAAACTAAGTACTGTAGGATCAAATTTAACACAATTAGGATACCATCTAGGAAAAAAATACCTACATCACCTCCCCCAAACAAAAAAGCACATTTTAACAAAAAATACATTCCCACATCATGCTTTCCATATATATGTCTGATTGCAAAATACACTACCTTATAAAGCAGACTATGAAGTTAATGAACTGTGATTTCAAATCTTTCTATTTGTACACATTTTCTTTGTTTAAAGGAAAAAAAGGTGTAGATTTCCAATTATGTTTTTTTAGTTTACCCTGAGGTGTATTTAATTTTGTGTTGTGCGTGACATATGGATTACATTGCCTGCATATTTATTTTTGTGCATATACAATAAATGGGTTTTGCATGGTAATTAACAGTGCTGCTAAGCCTTTCATTGTGACAAATGAGCTTCAGGTTTTTGGGTCTGACACTTAACAGGAAAACTGAATCTGTAAATTCAATTTTGCAGGGACCAGACGGACTGCCAGTAGCAGGATGTTGGCATAAGGTACAGTAACATTAATAATTGTATATCCTTGAACAGGTCCTGAGTAGTTCTGCTCCCTGCATGGTGATTGTTTGCACTGCTGAACATGCTTTAAGCAGCAGCTCACAGGCCTGGCAGACATGACATTACGCCTTGGGAGAGCAGGATTCCAGCAGCTTCAGGTCTTGTTCCCCCAGCTCTAGACTGGTGCTGGGAACACCAAAAACTTGCTAAGCATGACACAAATCATTGTTAACACTGTCAGTAGAGTGCCTTTTTACAGGCCTGCTCAGCTTTTATCATAGCCAAGGAAGCTCAGGAACCACCCATGGAAAGGCTGCCCCAGGTGCTCATGTGCCTTTCTCAGTCTGAGAAGTTAACAATGGGTTGTCTCTTTGCTACAGAGTTCCAAACATTTCATTCCTAACAAAAACTCTTCTGCCGTTGTAATTATAACTCACAACCACTGCACTGCCTGAGTGCTCTGATCAGCACCCTGGGTGCAGTGGTCAGGTAATTTGTAGCATCTCGTGCACCCAGAGCAGCCTGGGAGAATGAGGAGAGATGTGTCCTCCTGTAAAATGAGGATTTAATCCAGACTTGTAGGAGAATCCTCATTCTCCAACAAGAGTATGACTCTGAAGCTGAGTGGAATTACAAACCCAGCTGTAAACATGTGGTATGTGAACACAGCTGGAGTTAACAGCATGCCACTAACTGATTGCAAACCCTCAGTTGGAATGTGAGCACACCCTTGGTCTATCCAAGGTTTTAATTCTGTGTAATTTGTTTGGATGTACCATTAATATTAAAGAAATCTGAATGCCAATCCTTATAGTATTAACAGTAAGGTTAGTAAGTGTAATGAATGGAGCATTTCTCTGATCAAAATGTTTGTTTGTGTGTTCTTTTTCAGTGATCTCTAAGCATGAAGCACAATATGTAAATAATGTGATATATTTTGATCTTTTTAATTTTTGTATAAAAAAAGGAAAAAAAAACTTTTGACAGTAATATATTGACCTTTTTTTATACTGGATTCTGACATTTATGGACTTGGAAAATAATGTAAAGCTCTCAAACCTATACCATTGCATGGTAACACCAGGATTTGCTAAAGGTACCGATGGCAGTAGCTGAGGATGAACAGTGTTCCCTGCTCATGCTGCAGTGTGAACTAACAGTACTGAGCCAGCCTCGTGTGCCTTACTGCATGAAGGAGGGCAAAACCCCTGTCCTAATTTGGCTCTCAACTTCATATTTGCATTGTACATGCACATTAAAAGGGTGAAAAAACCTGGCTGAAAACAAAGAAAAGAAGGATTCAGCCCTGAAAATGAAAGAAGCTGCTGTCTACTGTCTGGTCAAGCAGGAGAAGGATTTGCAACCTGCAGAGGAAACAAAGCCAAGCTCCATCCATCACTACCTGCTGTGGGTGTGATGGGAACAGCAATTCTGGGGCTAAACTGAACAACCTTGACTGCCTGTGGTTATTTCCTCTACAATCAAGAGAAACCTTTTTCCTCCAGAGGAAGCACCTCTGGGTCCTGTTCTGGGGTGTGATCCTGAAGATGTGCCAGCACTTTGTTGCTGTGGAACACAAATTCCCCAGGAAGCCTCTGCTGCAGAATTTCAAACCAGAAAAACCTGGCAGTATTTCAGTGCAGGGAGCTGCAGGACAGGGAAGGCTCTGCTCAAGTCCCTTCTTAAACAACAGAGCACATAAATGCTGATCTTGGAGTTCCCAGAAATTGGGAGTTTGGAATATTTAATTGACTTGGTTTGTGGGGTTCATTTGCTTTTTATTTCTTCTTGGTTTACATGGTTTTAACTGTAAACTAACTCTGCACTCTCCTCTTGTTGTCTTATTTTTCTTCACCTTTTCAGTCTCTTTTGTTAAATTATCTCTTCTCAGGCACATCCCATGCAGAGCAGGGTAGTGGATAAAAATCACTATTATTTTGATATCTGCATATGCCACTGTGGGATCAATTAAAATTTCAAACTATTCCACAGTTCAACATTTTTAAGATGTCGAAAAAACATCAATTGTGCAGCAGAGAGCCATAAAAAAATATTTCAAAGAGGAAGAAGATGGCTTACAGCCGAGTCTGTTCAGCTTACAATGAAGATCAAGAAGCAACCAGATTCCTTTACAGGGAGGAGATACTTTGTATTAACAAGTTTTTAAACTGCACAGAGAAAGATACACAAATATTCATCCAATGAGTAGAAGTTGAAGCCACACAAACTCAAAAAAGTAAGCTGTGGCTTTTTATTGGTAAAACTGGTTAATCCTAACCAGATCAGTGATAAATTGCTATCACCCTTATGTCCTTTTCATTTAACAGATCATGTCTGGAGGAAATACTTTGCTCAATACAAGTTGCTGGGTTCCGAGTAGGAGTTCTAGGTGAAATCAGGAGCCTGACTGTAATATCAAACACAGTATTATGGCTCTTTGTGGCCTTGATCTTAGAGAATACAGAAGGGAGGCAGTTTTGGTGCACTGAGTAGATCCAAAACCTCTGTTAAGATTCTTGCTTCACTGCCACTCTCACTGCAGCTACTGCCAGAGGGACTGAGAGAGGGATGGGACTGTCCAGGTGCACCCTGTGCTGTCCAAGCTGACCTAGTGCTGGAGGTCTTGCTCCAATATCGTGAACAACAGTGGGAATGTGCTTTGTGCCCCACACAGGTAGGGTGATGCCTGGTGTCTGTGAGTTCTCAGCTGTCCTTGAGTTTACCCCAGGAGTCAGGGTGAGCCTGTGCTCTGTGCTGGAATGGTCACCAAGCTCAGGAGAGGTGACAGCCTCAGGGCTGTGGGCAGTGCATTTGTACCTGGTTGGCTGCTCAGGGCTACACCTACACATCACTGGCTTTGTGGCTGTACTTGGCATCTCTAGCAGTTACTCACCATTTCCTTGGTCACCATACAGATTAAATCCATGTTAAATTCAGATCAACTAACAAATCAAGAAACAACAATTATGTAACTCAAAACAGCAATGAAAATGCATTTTATTTACTTCCATTTCATGTTCTCGGCTATCACTTTTGGTGTAGGGGTTTTTAAAGGCATAAGGAGCAGCTAACAAGCTTCCACTGGCCTTTAGTGCTTTTGAAAAACCCCTTTAATATCCCAAATTAAAGCTAAAAAATTTTCTGTGAAAGGTTGAAGGCAAATCTCTCATTGATGTCACCAGGAAGATCTGTAATTGTTCCCTTAATGTACAGTTGCTCTTCCCATCTCCCCCAGTCATCTCCAAACTAAAAGCAGTTCACTATTGCAAACCACACTGTGGGCTTCTACACTCAAATTCCTGCACATGTCGTGTTCATGGAACTTCTTTCAATATCAATGAGAGTTCAGTCCCCAGAATGACTGCAGAAAGCACAAGAATCTGGAAGTGTCCACAAACAATCTACAATGCAGATAGAAAAGTCTTGTTTTACATACGCTGGCAAAAACTAAACAGCTTTCTATCTAGCTCCTACTTGAAGAAGTTTGATATCACTGAAGCTACAAGACAAGCTAACCTCCAAAGCTTATGAAATTATATTAAAATTTATATTTTCTCTGAGGAAATACCCCGAAGTCCTATTATCTTCAGGTAAACAAGTCAGTATTCCGTCTTCAACTTGTGGAATATCCAGTGCTTGTAGGCATCAACTGTGACCACTGCCAGGCCTGCAAAACATTGATACAGAATACCAGAATAGTGCTTTACCCTCTCACCACTCTGCAAGGCCACCGTCCCCCTCCCAGCACAGAGCCTCTGCTGCCACAGCACCCAAGCCATTTGTTGGTAGTGGAGGAAGGCTGGAATTACCACTCTAACACAGCTGTGTCCACCCCCACCAGTGCTGCAGCTCAGCCACCAAATCTTTTGGTGATGCTCTTTAGAAGCTCCCAGGCAAAGGCCCTTGGTTCTGCATGTACAAAGATCATCTCTGTGTGTGCAGCCAGTCAGGAATGTTCAGGACATTGGACTCACTGCTCACAGGCAGTGGCTTCTCTGGACTCCTGCAGCTGCCACTCCCATCAGGAATGCTGGCAGGTACAGGTCCTGCTGGACACTGCTGCCACTTTGGCTATGAGGAACTCATGTGGGGAACCAGCAGCTCTCCTGGATCTCTCCCCACTCCTTGGGGGTGGTACATCCACTGCACCAAGCCCTCATTGTGGAAGGAGCAGAGCCCTGTGGAGAGCAGGGACAGGATCCCCCAGCAGGGCTCTCACTGGCACCTGAAGTCCAGCCTGGTCCTCAGCTGAGATTGGTGCATTTGACCTCTGGATTCTGAACAGTGTCCCTGGTTCCCTGCCCACGGCACAGAGATGGACCTCAATGACCTTTAAAGACTGTTCCCAGCCCAGCCATTCTGTGATTATCAATCATATCATTCAGATCAACAGACTTTATTAGAGAAACTGTTGGGTTTCCACAGAGTCTAAGAGGAAATCTCTTTAGACTTCCATGTGCCTTACACACAAACATATTTAGAAGAGCAGTTGTTAAATACAAAGCAGTCATGATCTTACTGCAGTGAGTTGAAAAGATGTGCTTTGCTCTGCAAATTCATGCCAGATCAGTTGATTATTTTCTCCTTCCATATGAAAATGTTTATGTGGGTCTTTCTGAATACTTTGTGAATAGCTCACAAAGACAAATGTTACTTGTAGATGGTACTGGCAGTCTTCCTCAAAACTATGTCATGATCTCAGCCTTTCACAAAGCTTAGGGAGTTTTTCCTCCAGGAAATCTCTCAAAATTCTTTTGTTTTCCCCTTTGGATTGAAAGAATCTGAGACTGCTTTACAGCAATTCCAAAAAGCAGCTGAATGTTACCACTATATGTCAGCAGCAATGAATATGATTGACAGAGAGGCTGCCAATGCTTATGAAATGTGGGTCAGGCTGAGACTTAGCCACTGATTTTTCTTGATCACTAAAATATTTGGTGTAACTTCATACATTCATCAACAGATGTTCTGGGTAACACACTGAAGTTACTGATATTGGGGGAACCTGAAACTCAGACAGATATATTTTTGTTTTTTAGTTGACAAAACAAAATTCCTTCCTCTAATTTAACTGCCTGTGAAAGCATGGTGCTTTCCATGAGGTTTAGGCAACCATGTCTGCTGCTGCCCAGGAGCAGAGGACACACAGTTTTCTGTAAGGTTTGTTCCATTTCAAACTGTAGCTAATGACCTCCTTTCCAGCCACCACCAACATCCTCTCTCGTAACACACTATAGCCCAGTGGGTTTTGGAATCAGAGCTCCCAAACTGAATCACAAGGGCACAAGAACTCTCTTGAGACCCCTGAAAGGTTTTTCAGCCCCAAAGCTCTGCAGGCAGGGCTGCCTTGCTGTGACACACAAGTGCATTCCGTGACTGAGGCTGGAGCTCTGCTGGCTGTGGCTGTGTCAGTGCTGCTGCTCCAGGAGTGCTGATGCTGCACCCACCCAACCCTGAGTATGGGAGAGCTCCCTAAAGCTTCCAGGGAGGATGGATTTGGGGAAGAAGGGAATAAGGCAAAAAAACCCATGTGTGTAACTGCACAGCTTGAGAGGAACCCTGCCAGAGCATGAACCCAATAATTTGGCCTGTTCTCAAGGGGACAAATGAGATTAATTAAGGGTTTTACAGCTCAGTCACGGCTTGGCCAGTGAGTTCGGGAATATTTCTTTGGATTACAAAACAGGTGGCAGAGAAATCCTCAAATGACCCCAAACTGGAACTGTCCCCAAGTGTCAATTCATCAATATTTTAGTTTAAAAACATCATAATCAAGATATTGCCACATGCTTTGTTTTATTCCCATGGGAAGTCACCTCTTCTGTATGCACTGTTTCTGACACTTCCTGTACATATATTGGTGATGGAATTTATTTCTGTATGGATTTTTCTCCTGTGTATTTAAAAATAAGAATGTTTCTTTTAATGGTAATGACTTTTTGATATGTTTTCTTTTTAGGAAACCAATAGATAAAATATTTAGATAGGCTTTTGTCTTCTATAATTTCATAAATTTAGCATTTGAAAACCTTAAGCAAACCAGCAAAACATGTGGGAGGTTTCAGCAGTTTAAGACATCCCATGCAATGATGCAAAGTAATCCATGGAAAATGACACCAAGATTGTTATTAGGGTTGTTATAGTAACCACTACCCTGGGTAAAGTTTTGGTCTTGCACTCAGCCAAATATAGCAGGTCTTGGGCAAGAATTCAAGAACTCATACTGTAATGCACAACTGATTAAAATAAGTAATAAAAATTAATTAAACTATTAAAATGCCACAAAGTTTCCAGCTTTCTCATGATGGTAAATAACTCCCCTGGCCTGTCAATGTAATATGTGCATTGTAAAGGTGAATGCTGGTTCAATGCTGCCCTCTGGAGGAGACTTTTTTTTATAGAAGCAAATTTTATGCAAATTTTGTGCTGTGACAGTGTCTTGTAATTTACAGCACACATGACTTTTGTGTAACTCTGCAGTTTGAATACATACTTGTAAAAGCAGGAGTGCATTATTAGAATTTTTTTTTTCCCAAATCTGGTATTTCTTTCTTGGGAAACACAATTGTATTCTCATGTTTTTTTCAGTCCCACTGTTACCTGGATAATTTACAGCATTACACAAATAAAATCTACCTATAGCAGGTTTCCTGACACATTTCTATTTTTAAAATTTTGAGCATGAAAGCTCTGAATTATTTTCTTTGTAGGCAACGGATTTCTCTCTAAGATATGCAAAATATTAATAACTACAAATGATTAAGATATAGAAATTTAAATGCCCCCAAACCACTCATCCTGGACAAGTAGTGCAGGTATGTGGCTGAATTCAGATCAGTGAGTTTGGTTCCAGTGTGCTCCAGCAGAGGAAGGAGTGTCCAGAGGTGGAAAGAACCTCAGTATTGCTTTGTTTAATTTGAAATTCCTGCTTTTTACCTGTTCAAGACAGGCTGACGTGCTGAGCAGCACAGCCAGCCTTGCAGAGATTTAACCAGGAGATTTTTCAAGTGAGAAGTTACCTACATGGATAATTTCAAAAGGCCTGTGACACTCTAACTTGCCAAGGCAATCACTGTGGCACACACTGAACCTGGCAACTTAACAGGCCAGCCTTTATGTAAGCATATCTCTTGACCCTTAGCAATAGTTGGTTGGTTGTTTTTTTGGTTTTTTTAACAGAAGGGAAGGGGCAGAGAGAAACTGGTCACTCTAGTTAGTCCAGTCTCAGTGTCACTTACTGGAGTCACCTGCCTTTTAACCATGTCCCTGGCACTGCACTGGACCTGACCATAATTAGTTCAGTTTGAAACAATCCAGAGCTCCACTTGGAGGAATCTATTACAGACTGAAGCAAACCAGTGAGTAAAAAAAAAAAATTCCTAAACTTTATTTTCCCTTGTGATAATTTATATTTGTATGCTAAAAATTGCTTTCAGTACTTCCACATCCCCAGGTGAACTACTGCAACTTTGCCGTGTGCTTGTGTCCCATTAGGTGGCACAACGCCAGGGATGTGTGACTTTGTGTAACCTGCAGCTCAAGTAAGTGCTGAAAATCTGTCCCTTAGACATGAATGGAGAAAGAATTTAATAGATTATATTATTGTATTTTGTAGAGAGCCTGGGGGAAACCACAGGAAGGCTGGGAAACATGAGTTTTCCATGCATAAGGAGTAGAATTATTGACAAGAGAGAGGAGTAAGAAATACATTAGTAACATTTGTGGTTTTCCTATGACTTAGGACAAACAATTAATTCCTGTTTTGTTAAGCTCTGCTAGAAGTTGACTTCAAGTGTGGTTTCATGGAACAGTCAGCTCACTTCTGTGTCAGCTCACTTGTGTGGTCTCTTACATGATTTAAGATATTTGTGAACAGAAATTTAAAAAGGAGGTGACCCAAGTATCTGTAAATGACACTGATCCCATCTGCTGCTTTTTATTATACTGTTAAACGCTGTATTTAAAAAGTTCATTTTACAGGAATTTATTAAGTGTAGGTGAGTGCTTGTTAAACTTGTATTTCTGCAATAACATTAAAAAATTAGAGTCTGGTTTTGCAAAGCCAAAGCACCCATAACATCCATCCACTGAACTTGTAAATTTAGCAGGAAAGGTCCTAAGCTGCCATCAGTGCAAATGAAAGCTGGAGCCTGTTGTGTTTGCTGGTTTGTTTCATAGACTGCAGTTTTATAAACAATTTCATAACATCTTTCTGAGTTTCAGTTTAGGTTTCTTTTTCTGCTATCTTAAAAACAATCAAAAATACTGAATATGAAGAATGTTCAGCACAAATGCCAGAGTCAAAACTGAAAGCCCACTGCTTTGCTGCATTACATGACTTTGGACATAGAAATGATAGAAAACTGGTGTGTACTCAAGCATTTAAGAAACTGTACCTGCTGGTAACTCAAATCTGTGTACAGTTTAGAAAAATACATCCAGTATGTGCCTTATCTGACCATATTTGTTTTGAAATTATGTCAATAGAGCTTAATCCTCTACCACATTATGCAAGTGTCCCTTATTTAGGTGAGTGGTTGCATCACTCCAGGGAGGCTGTTCAGAGGAGAAAAGGCTGTTTGTGTGTTTGCAGCTTGCCAAAAATGAGTTTTGAATGTATTTACATGGTATTTTATACAAAGCTGGCTAAATCTCTGTATATGACCTTTGAAAAGAAATATATAGATATTAAAATTACAGAAAATGTACTTAACATCTCCATTTGCAAACTTTTTGTGACTTTTGATCATATATGTGCCACGAAAAGTATTCTATTTACTCTTCTTTGGGGAACAGCTACTTTAAAAATGAAGGCATTAACAACAGTATTTCTTATCCATTGTTTTAACGTGTTAAAATGGTATTAATTAGTACTACATCATGTATTTCTAGTTTAAAGCTGTAACGGACAGTACATTACCTTGAGACCTAAAAAAACTTTTTTCTTGTGCTTTTTTTAATAAAAGCAAAGACTAGATTTAAAAAATGGTCTCTCTGTACAGATTACTTTTACAATTGTGTGAATATGTATAATGAACTCTGCATTTGTAACCAAGAGTAAACTTGCCAAATTGTAAATGTTCAGGTTGTTATTATAAATACCTAGTAAATATCTTAACCAGACAAGAGTTCAAATAAAGATTAACAGCCATTATTAACTTTTTCTCCACTGTCTTTTGTTACTTAAAACCTGACCTTTATGAAGCAATAGAGTTAGACTAAGTTCAATCTACCTTTAACATAGCAATCTGGTTTTACATTCTCCATATTGCACAAAATTTAAACTGCTCCTGTGTTCATCAATAGCAGCTAGAGGTAACTACCTAGTGATGGCTATATCTAGCAAGCAAAGTCTGCCAAGTGTAGTTTTAAAGTTATCTGTTCTGTTTTTCTAGAGTTTTTAAAAGCTGTTTGTCAGTTTAAACCAAAAGAATGTGAACATGTATTTGGAAGGAAAACAAATGTGTCATTTTCTAGAATCAAGTTGGAAAAGTTGATGAACTTGGTTAGGGGATACAACACCTGCAGGAGCAGAACTCAATCCATCGCAGAACCCCCTTCTGGTTCTTTACCCTATTTTCCTTTAGGTAATTCCAGTCAAACAGGAATGGAAGAAAGATCATTCTAATCTGATTGACAGCACTTCCTCTTTTAATCCTAACTATTACCTGCTTTAGGGTTGGCTCTGAAGGAGTCAGTCGGGTGTCTACCTATCTGCCACCAGCCAAACACAGGGCTACAACATGTAAAATGCTGGGTTTGCTTCTGCTTTAACAATTATGTGGAAGATTCATTTCCGTCCTACCACCTTGGCTACCCACTCAAATTATTTTCAACTGTAAAAGAAACTTCCTCGATGTGTATTTCAATCACAGAGTGCTATAGCTGTACTAAAGATCCTGAAGCTCCTCCCTCCGAGGTGAGTGGGGTGCGGGGCTGGATGAGCAGTGGAAAGCCCTGGGGTGTGCGGTTTAAGGGTGAGCTGCCAGCAGCCCTGCAGACCCCAGGGGCCGCAGCCTGTCCCCATGTGTCCCCAGTGCTGCCTGTGAGCGAAGCGCTGCCCGGTCCCGCCGGGTCCCCGGGTGCGCTCCTGCCCCGCAGCCGGCGCACGCAGGACCCGCTCGGTGCTGCGGTGCGCCCGGGGCTGCGCTCGGCGCTCCGGCCGGGCCGTGCCCGCGTCCCTGTGTCCCTGTGCCGCCGCTCCCGCCCCTCCCTTCCCCTCCCCTCCCCTCCGGCCCGGCCCCCGCGGGAGGCGGCCGCTCCTTCCCTCCCTCCTTCCTTTCCTTCCCCGTCGCTCCGCTGCCGGCCCGCGGGCGGCTCGGCGGCCATGCGGGCGGCACAGCCGCGCTCCCGGCAGCAGACCCTGGCCCTGCGAAGGCAGCTCGTCGGGTGAGTGCAGCGGGCGCGCGGGAGCGGGGCCGAGCCGCGGGCCCCGCCCGGCGGCAGCGCCATCGCGCCCGGGCTGGAGGCAGCGGCAGCGCCGGAGCGCCGCGCCCGCACAGCCCGGTGCGCTGCTGTAATTAACAGGAATTAGCCGTTCTTAAGGAGGGGGATTACGAAACTGCACTGTAAAACCCGTATGATAACCGACTGCGCCTGTTTAGAGGCTAAACTGCTTAGAAAGCGTTTTCTGCGAGCCCGGCTGGGGCTGGAGGCCGTGCTGGGGCACGCGAGGTTCTGGCTCGCCTACTGTTATAGCCCGTCTTTCAGGAAACTAATTATACCAAAACCGGGATCGAATTAACAACAAACGTCTGCTCTCTTTGACAGAATGAGGGACAAGACTCAGTTCTAAACTTCCATTACCGGTGGTGTTTCAACTAGCCTCAAGAAAGTCTTAATTCTTTAGACCATCATCAAGTATGGCAACACAACTCTTTAATTTAACTGAGGGACTATTTTCATATCATATACATTCAAATCCAAGGGTACTTTTATGTGCTGTATAAATACAATAGAGTTGGGCTGAAAGTAAATGCTGAAATTAGGATTATGCCAGTTATATGCACCCAAAAAATACTACACTGGGTGTCAAATCTTTTTCTAACTGATTTGCCTTTCCACTGGCAACAAGACCCAGCCTCTGAAAGCACTTTCTTAGCATCTTTTGAACAGTTAGGAGAAGCTTGCAAAAAACCCCAATTGTTTTGCCAGCTCACAGAGAAAGTATCAAGATACCTCCTGGGTGGGACAATGAAGCACTTTCTTACTTCACCATTGTCCTTTGTCATCCATTTGACAATGGCTTTGTATTTATCATCAAATTATTTCGGTATAAGCCATCTTTTACTAAATGAAGTATGGAAGTTTGGCATTGCCCTTCAGTCTCAAATCTCTGCAACTCCTACTTAGGAAGATGTGCTTCCATTTTACTTGTTTGGAAATTCATTTAAAAAGTGAAACTAAACAAATGCACTTAAGTAAACCCAGCCTAATAGAATCATTCTGTGTTCTAGCTACGGTTAGTGAAGCTGTAACAGTCACCTGCAGCAAACTGGAAAATCAGGACCTTGGCAGGAATAGCAAGAACATAGTAAGAATAATAAAAAGAACATAGCATGACGTAAGAGACACAAAAGAACAAAAAAGGGCAGACAGCACAGACAGTAAGGAATTGCAGTTAAGACAGGATGAAACTACAGAGGTGAGTCCTACTGCTGTGTCTAGACCATAGAGTAGGATTTTCAGGTTTGGAGTGTGCTTTTTTCCTGTTAATCTAAGAAAATTTTGAGCACAAGGCCTTTGGTTTAGGGGCCAAAAGCAGGATGACTGTGCCAGCAAACAGGAGAAATGTCTTTTACCAGTAGGATAAACTAAACTCACCAAGATTTACTTTGCTTTGTGATGCTTGTCATAGCTCTTCTTGCAAGCTGTTTTTTCCTAATGATCCAGTGAAGATCATGAAGGCAAAAGGCCAGTATATGTATGATGAGAATGGGAGACAGTACCTTGACTGCATAAACAATGTGGCTCATGGTAAGCTCAAGTCATGGTACTGGATGTTATTTGATGCTGTGTATTTTTAAGCAGAACAAAGAACAGTCAGTACTTTTACTGCAGTTGCACTGTGCTGGGGGAGGGGGTGTTTAACTGGAAAAGTGGAAAGAAACTTTCTTGAGCATGTAGTTTGGGGAATTACAGTGTTTTTGAATTTGGCTGTGTGAATGTGCTTTCCAGACTTGCTTCCTGTCCTGTCTTCCCAGAAATGTGTCTAAAACATACAGATTTTTTTCCATGGAAACTCAAGCACCTCACTGTAAAATGAACAAGTGACATTTTGTTATTGTAAAAGTTACTGTTAAGTGCACAGTCACAGAACCCCACTGCTCAGTGTGGTGCCTTACTTTTGTATAATTAAGTGACTGTTGCTTTCTTACAGGATTTGAAATCTCTCTAACCTAACCCCTACCAGGGCTAGTAATTCTTTGATAGTAAAGCTTACCTGCACCTTCCCAAACTCCTGAACTATGTAAATGCCTAAATCCAGGCATCAAATCAGACACTATTTACTTTAGCATATCAATTTCCAGTACTAACTACAAACCTTAAATACAGCAGGAGGCAAGTTCAGACTTTCTGAGGAGCACAAAAATGTTTTTACAATGGTGTACCATTATTAAGGCCACACTGGTAAGATCTCTGTACTATTAGAGAAATCTAAGTGTTAAGCTGGCATGTGAATGGACACCATGGGTAATATGAAGAACTCTCAAACCACTCTCCACATTGTCTTGCAGTTGGACACTGTCACCCTGATATAGTAAAGGCAGCCCATGAACAGAATCAATTGTTAAATACAAATTCTCGTTACCTTCATGACAACTTGGTTGATTATGCAGAGAGACTTTCAAAAACACTACCTGAAAAATTATGCATCTTCTATTTTTTGAATTCTGGGTAAGTTGGGTTCATTAAAATTGATACAGGGGCTTTCCTAGGTATATACAGACAAGTACACACTTTCTTATCAACAGCCAATTTCAGTCTGGTGTGGATGAGTAGATACTGACAAAAACATGGGTTTGGTTTTGCAAGCTCTCTACCTGGAAACTAAACTCGTGCTTTATTTTAAGAAGGGCTTTATTCTATTTGTAAGACCTTGTACCTCAAAACAGTAATGTAAATATTTGCTGTATTAGTTTCTTGTCTGATTTGTCTTCTCACTTGACAGTCTCAAAATTAAATGTACCAATGCATTGCTTCTGCTGGGGAGGGGGGGACATATCCTTAAGCAAACTTCATCTGGAAGAAAAAAAAAAAAGCCAAATTGTTTCTCAGAAAGTAGTTCCTGTACTCAGTAGTTCCTGTACTCTGGCTTTTTAAGATGTATTCTGTTCTGGTGAAGAGTCCTGCCTAATGAGTGCTGATTACTAAGGAATTTGTGCATAACATGCATCAAGTTCTGTCTGTTCTCTGCAGACACAAAGAGCAGTGCAAGGGAGGTTAGATTTCAAAACTCAAGATATCCACAATGAATTTTTCCATTGTAGATCTGAAGCCAACGATCTTGCCCTGAGATTGGCACGGCAGTACACAAAACATGAGGATGTTATCGTTTTAGACCAGTGAGTACATTGGCAATTTGGGGCTACAAGGCTCCGTTCTGGCCCATGGTCAGAGCATTTCTGAAATCCTGCTGTAGTAGAAAGACTGTAACCAGGAAGCTGAGGGAAGTAATTTTTCCCTCTGTTGAGTATTTGCCAGCCCAGCCCTGGGAGCTGTGGTTGGGCTCTTTGGGCTCTCCAATACTCGACATCTGTTGAACACTGGAGTAAGGCCAGCAGTGGCCTGCCACGACGGGAAAGGAGCACAGCAGTGAGAGGCGCTGGGTTTGTTCAGCTGCAAGAGACAGCCAGATAGATCTCACTGCAACTACAACTGTCTCATGGGAAGGAGCATAAAAGATGGGAGCCAGGTGTGAAGATGTATGGTGACAGAAAAAAATACCTCAGATATAAGTTCAAACCTGAGGAATTTTGATGAGACAGGAAAAAGGGAGTCTAATATTAGAAGAGGATGCCTACAGTCACTGGAAACTCCATTGTTGGAAGATGTTCAGAAATAGGCCCTTCCCATTGTTTGCAATCTTGTGATACTGCTCAGGTGTTCCCTGCTGTGATTCCAGTCACTGGTGCAGGCAAACCAGTGCTAAGTCCTGTCCCTCTGCATCCTTTGTATGAAAAAAAAAAATCCAAGTAGTATTAAGCTTATTAATAGAAAATAAACTGCAGAGCTGTTCTCAGCTTAAGTTACTGAATTTCCTACCAGGTAATAGCAGCTGGCTACTTTTTACTATTTGGAATGCTAATACTAAAGAACTCTTGATACTGAGAAAATTACTGTTTAGTTCTGCCAATTGTTTTTTAAGTGCTTACCATGGACATCTGACATCTTTGATTGACATAAGCCCATATAAATTCAGAAATCTAGAAGGACAAAAGGAATGGGTCCACGTGGTATGTACTTCAGCCTATACCTATCAATTACTTGTCAATTGAGTGAAGTTGTTTTTACGATATATTTCATGTAAGATATTATTCCTTTGCATAGGCTCCTGTTCCAGACACATACAGAGGACTTTATAGAGAAGATCATGAAGATTCAGTAACAGCCTATGCTGATGAAGTAAAAAATATTATTGAGCATGCACATAAGAGAGGCAGAAAGGTAAGACATAATTTCCTGAACTTTGTTTTGTCTTAGAAATGAATGTGCCTGACTGTAAGTGCAATTCAGAGTTACTAAACTAAGTGGTATGGACTCATCAAAAAGTGAAGATGACATTAATAATCAAAAACCATCTAAGGACAAAGCTTGCTCCACAACTTTCTGTATTGTGTTCAAACATTATGTGCTCTGTTTTAGATTGCTGCATTTTTTGTTGAATCTCTACCAAGTGTTGGTGGTCAAATCATTCCCCCAGCAGGATATTTTCAGAAGGTTGCAGAGTAAGTGGTTATTCCTTATCTTTTTTAACTTATCATATTTGATAAATAGATAATTCTCTGCCTGCTGTGACATAGAGCTTGATAGGAAGGAAATTACCCAAGCCTTCATGTTAGAATGTGAACTTTGTATAAGGCAAAGGTCTGCTTATAAACACACAGTATGCAATATAGGCTTGTATACCTTTGTTTCCTCAAAAGTTTGCAAAGTAACACTTTCTGCATGTTCCTGAACAATAAATGCTATGTTCTCTTTCCTTTTAAGAGACAATCAAATCTGTTATGTTACAGGCATGTGCACAAGGCAGGAGGTGTATTTATTGCTGATGAAATTCAAGTTGGCTTTGGCAGGGTTGGCAAGCACTTCTGGGCATTCCAGCTTCAGGGAGAAGATTTTATACCTGATATTGTCACTATGGGGAAGCCAATAGGGAATGGGCACCCACTTGCTTGTGTAGCAACAACAAAAGAAATTGCAGAAGCATTTGCGGCCACAGGAGTAGAGTATTTTAATACAGTAAGTAAACAGCTGCCCACTTCTGTAAAGGAGCCTAAGGATTAAAAGTAGATACCCATGCTGTGTTTTTATTAGTATTTACCACACAGTAAATGAAGAACTGTGTCACTGTACGATTTCTGTGTTTCTAGTCTGTGACTCTATGTATTGGCTCCATCTGATAAAAGTAATAATATGCTTCTTGTATCACTGAGGCTGCACTTTCAGTGACATGATTTCATCTTTCTTCCCTTTCCATGGCTCTGTGTGTTCCTTTCCTGGGCTCAGTTTGGTGGGAACCCTGTTTCATGTGCCATTGGATTAGCTGTGTTAGATGTAATTGAGAAGGAACACCTTCAGACTCATGCCACAGAGGTAGGCAACTTCTTGATGAAGACACTCAAGGAGCAGCAACTCAAGCATTCCATCATTGGTGATGTCAGGTATCAGTGCCTTATTTACATTTTTAGCTGCTTTCTCTTTGGTTCAGTCAGTCCAACATACATTGTTTTGAGAAATTAGTAAAATTACGTGTTTTCAGCAAAAATAAAGAGCCTCCTGTACAATTAAGTAAAACAAACCTGAGCCTATCAGAAGTCTCATACTTTGCCACTCTGGGCCACTACTGTTTTATCAATTTATTAGCTGCTAGAACTGTTGAACTGCTACTGTTCAAACTGCTGTTTGAACTCAAAGTTCAAGTGCACAGAGTACAGAAGTGATGAGCTAGATTGAAAACATGCTTAATATCCTGTCCTGCTCTACCAGTGTTAGCAGACAGAAGTCTGTATTACCACATTTCTTCAGAACAGCAAAACTTTTTTCTAACAGTAGCCAAACATGCAGTAAAGGTCTGGTCTTAAAAAAAACCCTCATTTTTTTACTTCACTTGTAGTTTCTTCCTCTGACACTGACTCTGGCAGACTGAATGGTTTTATTTCTTTTACAGAGGTTGTGGCTTATTCATTGGAGTGGACTTAATCAAGGACCAAGCAGAAAGGACTCCAGCCACAGCAGAAGCAGAGGATCTAGTAACAAGGTACAGGAGCTGCTAAAACACAAGGCCAAAACTGAAACCAGTCAGTGTAGAAAGGCACTGTGTGACAGCCTGCAGGCTGGTGTTGGAAGTTTTTCTGAGTTACATGCAGAGGTAAATGTAATTCTTTTTTATTGCTCTTTCCAGACTTAAGGAAAAATATATTCTACTGAGTACAGATGGGCCAGGAAGAAATGTGCTGAAATTCAAGCCCCCAATGTGTTTTAATATGGAGGATGCAAAATTTGTTGTGGAGACAATTGACAAAATACTAACAGGTAAAAAGTGATCAAAACCCTCAAAAATAGTGGGTGGTTTCTGAACCTTCTTGAAGACAATGCTGAGCTACTGAACCTGATTTTCAGAAATGCTAAATTGGAGCCAAGATGGTAAATGCTGAGCACATAGCCTTCCCTTCTCAGTTTTTCTGTGCTGAAGTTCTCCAACAAAACTACTTCCTCTACAGATGCATGTGCATTTTAAAATAGTTTTGCTCTGGCTGAGGTTTGAGTGTTTAGTTTATCCAAACATGCACAATTTGTAAAATATGTGCACATGTTCCTGAAAGCCATAATCTATGTACTTTTGCCACTTAGCTTTTTATACAACTTCTACACTCTTAGCATTAAGAAAGTTAGTGTGTAAAAAATGTCACAAAGTCATGGTTTTTCTAAGTTGTTGCTTATTCTCTCTCCAGATATGGAAAAAGAATGTCTGAACCAACAGAAAACACCTATTTGTTCCACCTGAGCAGGTATTTACCTATAGCCACCCAGTACTATTTAAAAGCCAAGTTTCTAAACATAACTTCACAAGCACTGTCAGAATAAAGCTTCCTCAGAGATGTTTTTACTCAAAGTTTGCAGGAATTTCTGGGAATCTCCAAGCATAGACCACACTTGTGTACATCCAGCATTCAGAACTGCCTTCCATTGGTCTGACCCTCCCAGCAACACTGTGTGCATCACTTGTTGTAAGCCAGGGCCAACATGTCCCAGACATGACTGTCTCTAGAGCATGCAAATGACTGCACAGCCACACAAACTTTCTGCTTGCTGCTCAGTGCCTTCAGGCTCCAGCCAGAAGCTGGTCCAGATGCATAACCACTTCTCAGCAGATCTCCCCTTAAGTGTCATTTCAGGTTCACAGCTGGCATCTCATCCTTCAGGATCCATTTACCCCTAGACTCAAAAGTTTGTGGGTATCAAGAGTAAGATTGGTCTTGTTAAGTCTTCAAAGCCTTGTTATGTCTTCATCTCTTGAGGTCCCTCAGTAGGCTGCCAAGAGAACATCTAGCTGCAACTCAGTTTGCTGTTCCACCCATGAGCACAGTGTACACTTACAGTTAACACCTTGGTAACACCCTTTGGTACACTTAGCCCTTCTTCAAACTACTCTGACTAAAAGACAACCACATGTTTGGTGGAACTCTTGGACAGCTGGGCAGGAATGCACCTGACAGGGTCATTGTGAGCAGTGTAACCATTAGTGGCCTCAACCACCATGAGATTCACAGTGCTATGGCCCTGAGCTAAGGAGAAATATGTTTTTAGTTCAATGTATATTAGTATAGCAGTCACAAGAAAAATGTGTTAATATTTTATTTAGCAAGTTAATGGAAAGACATACAGCTGTTTATACTACTTATTCTTAGGAACAGAAAGATTACTTAACAGTGCCAGTGCAAATTAGAGGCCTAATGACTTAATGTACTTATCTGCGATCTAAACTAAGCAAGAAAAATGCCTTTATTTTCTACAGGAAACCAAGAATGCAAAAAGCCTCTTACTAAGTACAGTACTAGTAAGACACTTACATATAATGTAAGCGAAAATGAGGCAATGAAGTAATTTCTTTTAATGATACTTTTACAAAAAAACCATAACATTATTTTCTTTCCATAGGTTTCAAACAATGTTCAAGATCTACTACTAAGAAACATTATTCTATTGTAATAATGCACATTTAATCTTCATCCTAGCATGTCTTAGACCAGATAAGTCACCTTTGATTTTTCTGTTTTCATTTATCTTGTTTTTAGTAAAAGTTCTAGGAGAAATAAATTTTACAAGAGCTTGTCTCAACTCTGGCAGTGTGGAATTGGCTTTTATTTAAAACTGCGTATCTAAAACTGATTATAAAGGAGGATTTTTCTAATGGCCACTACAAAATACATTTTCTAAATTTATGTACTTTCAGGTTATGACTTTTTCAAATTAGGGGCATATTTTCAAGTCTTCAGCTACCTAAGCAAACACCATTCCAGGTGCCAGTACACCCAGTCCTACCCAGGACTCCGATGAGTTTCAGCAGCCAGTGTCAGAACAAGGTCCCTAAGCAGCACTATATTCAACAAACACTCTCAAGCCACCAGGTTAAGTCAAAAACTTCAGTTCCAAATTCCTAACATCAAACACATGAGGGACAGACAGCTGAGGGCTATGGCTCCCAAACCACTTCTTACAAACACAGTCTGTCCTCAAGAAATATCCAAGTGGGATTAGTAAATTAAGAGCAGTTTACAGCCATAAGCAACAACCTTGTGTACAAGCCTTTACTTTCACCAGGCAGTTCTTTGTCACAAACTTTTCATGCAAAGAAGAAAGGGAAAAGCCAGCTCTGCATTTAAGTACCAGTATCCTCAGTTCCTGCCTAAGGCCACATCACCTGTTAAGGAAGCATTACCTGAGCACCTACTTACAAAAACCACCACAAGAACACCAGCTGACAAACTCTTGCTAGGACACTACTAGCCAGAAGGACTGCAGCACAATGGTCCTGATACCATGCAATTTTCCCACTGGAGGGCCAAGTGCTTGCTAGAAAAATATTCTGCTACCCCTTATTTCACAGAAAAAAATATTTAAAGTATGTAATAAAGTATTTAAATTTTAAATCTTGAGACAGTAATACTTCTAAATACTGTACTCATTTGCTTCAGTGATCTGCTGGTTTTTTTTTTTTTTTTTTTTTTTTTTGCAAGTAATTTGGGCTGGAGGTTACATGGTCCAGCTGTAAAGTTGTCAACTGTAAGATTTAAAATCTGATTTTTTTTCAATACTCAAGACTTCCACCTAACACCAGAAGAGTCTTACAGACTTCTAACTTACAAGCAAGTGTTTCTTTTCAAAGACAACCAGCAGGGAGCAGCAGATTATAGTCCATGCAGAAATAGCTGCATCCCTTGTTAAAAAAACTAGAAAGGTCACTAGTAACACATATTTGTTTCTTGTCTTAGTTACTTGGTTTGATTCCACTTCCAGGTGTTACTTGTTCAAAGAGAATTTGTTACAAGAAAAAAAAATTGCCAGATTTCAGCCTTAAAAGGATATTAATATCAAACTGATCACTGCAACAAAGATTAGGAGTCTACTTTATGCAGTAGAGCTTGCTACTTATATTCTGCAACAAGACAGGCAAATCACATGACAGTTATTGCCTTAAAATAGCAGTAAACTAACAGTAAAGTCAAAAAAGAAGGGTATTTCTAGCTGGTCACTCATCTCTAGAGAGAGAGAGATGTTTTTTCCACCCACAGTGGAAGTTCTTTGAGCCTTTTCTATTATAAAAAAGCTGCAAAAACTCAGACTTTGCATTGGTAATTTAATGTCTGTCCAACCTGCCTTTCAAGGCAGACATACACAGCCTATTAACAACTTGCAGACAAGTCTCAGAATCAAGACAGTGAAATATGGAGGAAGTGCAGCCAGCTTCTTGCACACCTCTTGGCTCCCTCCTGCAATGCTGTCCAGACTCCCAAGCCCTACCTGAACCCTACAGCTCTGGCTCCTCCTAGCAGAGCCCAAAGCAGACACCACTAGAGTTACTCTGAGCCTCTGTGCTTGCATAGAGCAGAGCCACCATCTCACCAGCACCGCCCCACCACAGCTGGGGCTTCTCACCTGAGCTCTCCTCCACAACCTCCAGGCAGAAGTGACAGCAGGTTTTAGTTGCCACTTAACTGCAAGGGAGCACAACTACCAACACAGCCTTCTAGTTTTAAGATTAAAAACATTAAAGCACAACTCTTAATCTATCAAGGTACTGCCATGAACTAAGTTCTGGGAACAGGATACTGGTGTTTTACTAACACATGAGCTGAAGAATGGCACAAGACACTAGATTACGCCTTTTTTATTTCAAAAGCTAGGATAGCTTCAATATCCATGTCATGGTGAATCAGAACACATGTAAAATACCTTACAATACATTAGATTCCAAAAAGGTACCAAAAAGTACAGTAAAATTAACACTTCCATTACAGGAAATGTATGACACAAAAACAATACAAAATAAAAAGGTGGAAAGTGACACTGGTTCCCTAAGATGCATCTCATTCTGTACAACTGGAGTAATGCAGAGTCCACAGTTAACTCCAAGAGGCAGTCCCTAGATGCAGAGCTGCAGCTTTAAGCAGACCCTCAAAATCAGTTTCAGTTTAACCTATTAATAAAATCATTAATTAATATCTTCAGCAATGCTGAAAATTACACACCACACTGTCTAGACAACTAGTTATTGGTAAGTATTAAACATGTAAAACATTTCCAGGGAGCTCTTCCAAGTAAGATGCACATTTAACAGGCCATAGAAATTTATTGTAAAGTTAAATTTGGTACAGAACTGAAGTATCCATCTACAGCATTGTATACAAAACCTATGCAGTCATTTTCCAAAAGAGACCATGCCACTGCATACCTGAATAAGTTTGATCAATATGGCTTGTAGTTATTCTGATGACCACCACGTCTTGGTGTCTTCCCATAATTTGCACTGCCTTGACCTATGAACAAGAAAACAAATGCATTAAACTGCTAATTAGTTATGCTTGCTTATACCCAATACAGTTCTCTTTACTTACTGTAATCATAGCCTGGTCCATATCCATAATACCCATATCCTGAATAATCATAGCCTCCATAGCCACCATAACCTTGCTGATAGCCGTATCCTTGATTCCCATAACCCTGGTTCCAGTAATTGCCATAACCTTGATTCCAATTTTGACTTTGAGCTATAGAAGGGAAAACCATCCACAAAATCCCATTTTAGTACACACAACTTATTTAGAATGTGTCCATACTAAAGTAGTGTGTGTGGTACTTACCGCCGCCTCTTCCACCTCTGCCTCTTCCTCCATAGCTACCTCTTCCTCCACCACTACTGAACTGTTGCTGCTGGTACACTTCTTTTGGCTGTGCTACCTTAATCTCACACTGCAAATAAAAAACAAGGAAGAGTATGTGAAGTGTCTCAGAGCAGCACTGCCCCACCTGAGCACCTGGAGAAGCCAGAGGTTCCTCTGGAGGCAAAGGAGGTGTACGTGCTGTGCTCGTGAGCAGCACTAATGCACATCCAGGGACATCTGATTTATTGTGCTACCTGGGCAAAGGTAAGTTGCTGTCAGCCTTTCCAAGAGGCCACTGCTTTCAGGGCATTTTATCCTGCCTATTCCCTACCATCCGTTTCACCATGGGAGAGGTGCTGAGGCCACCTCTCCTGCAGGAGACACAAGGCTGCCCTCTCACCTGGCACAACCTCCAGGACAAGGCTGCTGCTATCAGACTGCTTCACCTGACCTGCACTGAATGAACGAGGTTCTGGGAACTGCACCAGAAGGAGTTTTCCTAGCAGCCACTGAACACCTTACACAGTGTGTATGTGGATGGACTGTACCACACCCCTACCAACACCTGAAATCACCATTTATCAAATACTAACAGGTCAAACCAACCAGAACTGACATTTTCAAGGCAGGTTCCCAGGCTGCAGTTCAAGCTGTCAGCCAATTGCCAGGTTCCTGGATCTGTGCACAGACCAGGATTAAAGCTACTGTGCTGCAAAAGGAACAACAGCACCTGAGCAAGCCTGGCTTGGAGTTTTTACCACAGGACCTTTAAGGTAATCTGCTTTTTATTATCTATGGTTATAACACAAAAAGAAGTCCTAGATATGATACAGGAATTTCTCAGCTCTCTTGACATTTAGGCATCCATCTCTCCTAAAAACAAACTTCACTGCTAACCAGTGACTTTCCCACTGCGTTAGGTTTGTAAAAATTGCTTCTGTATTTTGTCAAGACCAGTCCTAAACCAAATGCAATCCAAGTCAGTGTCAGACAGTATGACCCAGTGTAAAAAGGCTCTGAAGTTATGTGGTCAGCACTGGCCTCAGAGCAAGGGAACAGGGACACCTCGAGCCAGTACACATCATTTGCCTCCAGTCTCTCTACATGTGTGGATCCCTGAGCCTCTCTCCATTAGCTGTTCCCTCAGATGAGCAGTCAGCTGGTCAGAGCACCTCACACCACCCTTACAGTAGCTCCCATAACCAAGCACAGACTTCCGTAAGTGTACATTCACTCCCTGGATCCTTGTAGTGGGTTTACATGACAAGGTTTGGGTAGCAGGGGGGCTACAGAAAGGGGCTCCAGAGAGAAGAAAGCAGCAGCTGTCCCCCAGCAGACAGAGCCACTTTCAGCCAGATGCTTGCAAAATTAGGCATCTGCAAGGCTTTCCTTATTGCAAGTGCTCTATGCTGAAAATAGGCATCTACCTGCTGGAGTGCTTACACTGCTACACTGACACATGAGCCAATTTCTCCACATATATTTCATGAATGCAATTAGATGCTTAAAATACAAAAAGCCCTAAAAGACAGCAATTACAAGTATTGTCAAAGAGCTTTAGTAGCCTCTATGACAGAACTTAGGGCTGTCCTTATTGTAAATTTGGTACTTTGACACAAGAGGTCTACAAAAGCCTTTTCAGGTTATAGATGTGGAGGTATTATCCATGGACAAAGAGTTACAAGTCAGAGTTTCTACCTTGCTTCCACTGACGTTATGGAATTTCTTCTCCAAAACCTTCTTCACTGGATCCTCTTCCTTGAAAGTGATGAACACAAACCCCCTCCTTTTGTTGGTCTTTGGATCCATTGGCAGTTCAATTGCTTCAATCTGAAGATGCAAAATACTATTTTCAGACTCGTGTTTTAGATGAACAGTTAAATGCACAGAAACTGGGACAGTAAAACTGTAAATTTTCTCTTTATGCATATTATGCAACACCAAAGTTGCAAGCCTTTCTATGCTAACAGTGGCTTTCAGAGCCAAGATTTCCATTTTACAACTCTTCAAACTGGTTTTAAAATGCTTTAAGACAAGGGTCTCTAGCAATGAAGCACCTAGTGCAATAAGTGCCACCTTTGCTCTCAAGTAGGGAAGCTTCTGGATGTTACAGAAGACTTGATACATCTGAAGTTAACTTACTTTGAAACTTGCAAATTATTAATAAACTAAACAGCAACTGGAGACTATACTTTCAGAGTTTGCTAAGATACCATTACACACCTCTCCAAACTCTCCAAAGTATTCCCTTATTTTCTCTTCTGTAGCTTCTGGGTTTAGCCCACCAACAAATATTTTCTTCACTGGATCCTTTTTCATTGCCATGGCCTTCTTGGGATCAATTAGTCGTCCATCTAGTCTGTGTTCTTTCTGTTCCAGAACCTAAAAGACAGTTTGTTGTGATTAACTCAAGCTGAAAAGTTTCCCCTAGATGTTAAAGATCTAAAATACTAAGCTTAAATTCACCTTTTCAACACTCCCAGGTTCTTTGAAGAGAATAAATCCAAAGCCTCTGGATCTTCCTGTGTTAGGGTCCATCTTTATCGTACAGTCGGTTACCTCACCAAATTTGGTGAAGTAATCTTTCAAGTCTTTTTTGCTTGTATCCCAACTGAGGCCACCAACAAACATCTTCCTGAAATTTCAAGGAGAGAAGAGCTATTCAGATTCAGGAAGCACTAGAGAAAAGCAGATGCAGTAAGATGCTCAGTGGTACACACCTCAGCAGCATTGTCAGAACAGGACTGTCTGTTCCAAGTGCAACACCTGCATCTTCTCAAAAGCTGCTGATATTACAGGAGTGCACAAGGGTGGGCTTCTTCCCCCTCTTTTTGAGGGAATGCCACAATGCACCCTGCCATTGTTTAGAGGATACAAAAATTAATAAGAATAGCCTGAAATATTCCTTGCCAGTAACTTAGGTTCTTAACAAAAATATTCTATAATTTGCCAGAAAGCAGTATTGATTATCAAGTACTGCCAACTCAATTTTTTGCAAACAACTTAGGATCATTCCTACTGCTCTGAAAGTATTCAGCAAAAAAGGTATCAAAAGCAAAGTATTTGAGCTCTCTTAGGTTTTGGTTAAACAGCTGTAAAAATTTTAGTCCGGGTATCTGTGACCTCCAATAACACTCACATACAACAGATGGGACTTTGGACCTGCCTTAACTACTATGTTGTGCACTTCTTCCTGCTTAGTTACTGACTCTAGTTCTGTCTTCCTCAGTACTACAGGAGTCTCTCCATCCTCAGTCTTTAATTCCAAGTAGGCGGATACAGTTCTTCCCTGCCCACTTTCCCATACAAAATACCCTCTGAAGGAGGATATCTAGCTCAAAGAACGAAATTCAAGGCACAATACTGAAGTGAAGCTAACAAACAAAACAGTGAGAGCAGGCAATAAGGCATTTTTCAAACGCTTCACTTCAAATGAAAACATTAATAACATGGCTGCATTTTCTATTTTCGTAGTTTCCAAGGTAACAAACTAAGCTTTTAAAAGCATTCGAGCCTTTCTATCTAACTATAGACTGAAGCAGTTTAAGTTGTCATTACTCCTGTTTGGAGGCAACCTAGATTGGCACTAGAAGGTAGCAGCACTTCAGAAATTAAACTGTACTTAAATAAAATTGGCTTTTGGTGTTTATGTGTAACTTTGCAATAACTGGCATCTGTTTATGTACAAGAGGAAATGGGGAGGAACCTTATGGGGTGTTTTCCCTTTTTTTCTTAAACTGGGTGAAACCAAACCCTTTATCTGCTCAAGTCAAGTTTTTTCAGCAGCCCAAGCTGTGCACCCTTGATGAGTGCAGCAGGAAGCACCGGCTCCAAATACAGCGTGTGCTTCCTGCAGCCATTACAGCAGAGCCTCGGAGGAACGGCCTAGCGAAGTTTATTCACCTCTCAACACCAGGGCAAGGAAAGGGGCTTGGGGGATTCCTTCCCATCCCAAGAGCTGACTGTGGCTGCTCTAACCTGTACGGACTGACAGGCTTTCCACAGCACACCCTGTCATCGCTGACCACACTTACAGAACAATGAAAGATTGGGAGATGACAGGAATTTGTCTGGAGGCAGCTTTGGCTGCTTTATGGCATTGCCACGTGCTAAACTCACCTCTTACCGCAGCACTATGTGTTACACTTTGCAATTTGCAGTGCTTTGTTTTGTAACTGGAAAAACTGATACCTAATTTAAATAACACAATATTTAAAACTTTTGAACCTTGGAAACTGAGACCAAAAACACGGTATTTGGCGTTTCCTTTAGAGGTCACAAACTGGACAACTGCACCTTTAACACGCATTTTTCCCTCCTGAGTGTATTTGTGCAGCTAAACTGAAGCTTATTTTAGCTCATAACAAAACACTGTAAAATCAGTGCCTTGGACAGCGCTACGTTTTTCACATACATCAATTCCTCTGAATAAGTGCTGTTCTAAGAAGTTTCATTTCATACCGATTAGGGGCTGAAGCTTGTCACCTGTTCATGAAAGGAAAATACCATCACCCTTTTTTCAGCACAAAATACTAGAAACAGTAAAGAAAAATTCGTACAGAGCTAAAAGGCCTGGTTCGCAATCCTTCTAGTGTCTGCAAAGAGTACATCCGGCCCCAGCTTGTGGGAAGCTTGTGCAAGTGTTACTCTTTCCTTTATAGTCAAAAATCTATTACACTGGCTTCAGCGCTCTGTTTAACCTAAGGGATCTGACCCTCTGGTTCAGAGCTCAGCGGTAACAAAGGGAGTTCCAATTAAATACATGGAGTACCCTGAATAACAAAGACCTGCTTGAGAAACAGCCAGGTAATGTTCGTGTCCAGTATGTGTGTTTATGAACAGAACAACTACGACAGGACCCAAATTCCTCTTGTATACACAAGGATTCCACCACCAAAGCACAGCGAAACTACTCTGACTCCTCCAGAAATCCCTTGCAAGACTTAAGGCATTTTCTGACAATGCTGCAAAGTAGCACACCAAAATAGCTCTTACCGATTTAAGCACACCTCGCATTATCTCAATCGTGCTGATTTTTCTTTTACTTCCCTTAAAAAATATTAAGGTTACCCGCGCTGCCTTCCAAGGCCAGGATTATTTTTTATGTGCTTTACAAAAACATTCACATTTACATCGACGCCAGTGGCGATGGGCCATGCGATACCCGCAAAGTTTCAGCCAGCCCCCCTCCCCCAACAGAAAGCAACTCCTTCCATCCGCCCCTTTCGCTAAAGAGGGAAAGGAAGAAGAAAACGCGGGAGAGGTAAAACCCCTTCCATTTTACAGCGTGAGACGGCAACAGCCCCGCTCGGCGCCCCTCCCCCAGCCGCCACATGGCGCCAACAAAAGGCAGCGCCAGAACAAAGGAAGCGCTGGTGCTGCAGGGCCCCGGCTCGGCGGGGCCGCTCCCGCCGCCCTCCCCGCCGGCCCGAGCGGGCCCGGGGGCGCTGCCGCCGCAGGGCCGCACCCCGCGTCCTCCTCGTTCTTGCTGGCGTTGATCTGGTCGCCCTCGGCCCCATTCTGGCTGGCGGCCGTGCCCGCTGTTCCCGCCGCTGGGCCGGCTCCCGCCGCCGCCGCCGCTCCCGCTGCTCCTGCCGCTCCCGCCGCCGCAGCGGCCGCGCCGGTCTCGGCCTGCTGCTCCCCGGCGCTCTCGGCCGCTTCGTGCCCGTTCTGGGTGGCGCCGGCCGCCAGCTGCTGCTCCGCTTCCGACATGGTGCCCCGTCCGCAGAGGCAGAGGGACGAGAGACGCCTGCGAGAGACGAGCGCGGGTCAGCGCGGCGGCTCCTCCCCGGCCGGGCCGGTCTGATCCGGTCCGCTCACACCCCTCCCCCTTCCCGCCGCCGCCATCCCGCTCGTACTCACTTTTAAAATCCGCTCCCGATAAAACCCGGGCTGACCGAAGTCTAATTAAAACCGCCCCGCCACTGGTGCTGGAGCCGATCCCGCTCCCCGCGGCTGCTCCGCACCGGCGCCACCGCCGCCTCCCCCTCAGACACGTACTCGGGCCCGCGCCCGCGACGCGTGGCCGCCTTTATAGCGCCGGAGCCTGCGCCACACCGCAACAAGGCGCGTCCTGGTTGGGCGTCGCCGCCTGTCACTCAGGGGATTCTGCGCTCGCTGCTGGCTGCACTGCTGGGATGGGCGGAGCCATACGGGGAGAGGCGGGCGAGGCGGGCCCGGGAGTTGCCGGCGGGATCGGGATCGGGATCGGGATCGGGATCGGGATCGGGATCGGGATCGGGATCGGGATCGGGGCCGCGCTCCCAGCACGGTGGCGGTGCGGCCGCGGCGCAGCCGGGCCCGCGGGCTGCGCACGGGAGGGTCCGGCTGCGGCTGGAGCGCTGTGCTCCACTCGCAGTGCCGCCCTGGTTTAGCCCGAGGTGTGTTACGGGCACTGAGTCAGTTACTCCAGGACGAGAGGTTTGCTTAATGTTTCCAGCTCTGCTGGTTTTGCAACCGAGAGGGGCCAGAGTTTGTTGTTCTTAAACTTAGATTTGGATATTACATAACCGGGGCTGGAGCGCTGAGCACGTGCCCGGGCCTTAATTCCTTTTGCCCAAGGATATGTCAGCCTTGTTGGCATAAGTTGTGGGTGAGAAGTCCAGAAGACAACTGCTCCCTGTAACCAGCCATTGTTTTATGGCATACAGCTCCTAATGTCCTGTTTGTCCATGCCAAAGGGGCAGATTTTGCCTTCTAGATGTACAGGTAAAGCTTACACGTCTTTAAATAAAACTGAAAGTTAAGCCCTTTGCTTGTGGGCAAGAAGTAACAATTACTACCTAACTTACTGCAGTAATGAGTGCACACATTAATGCTCCACCCTCTGTCAAATATGGCTTGTGGCTCAACTTTAATCTGCTGTTAAAACACAGGAGTGCCCACAGCCATTTGTGAATTGAAACAGGAGAAACATTTTAAGTGATCTGGTCTGGATCATAAAGTGTCCTTCAGCTGAGCTGCTTTTAGAACAGTTTTTATCCTAAATACAGTAGATCAGAATTCATCTTTAGGGATGCCTGTCAGTAGCCAGGGTAGGGTATGCTATACACAAACTCTCAACCACAACTTTAGGCTGAACTTTGTAAAAAAACATTCTATGAAGTCAGGGCAGTAAAGATAGTAGAGGGAGCAGGGCCAATACACGTGAAAGTTGTAATGTCCTTAGGACAGGTTGTAGATGTTGGCTGATACAGATGCTCATCTTTATGAGAATATATTTTTATATTGTTTTCTTGTATTTAACTTTTAATAGAATGTTAGAAGCAAATAATTTTTTTTATAAGACACCATAATTGATACCATGTCAGAGGAGCTTACCCCACATCCAGCAAGGGGGCTTCTTGTGATTTTTCAAGCAGCTTTGGCTTAGATTTTAAACCCCTCAGGTCTGTACCAAAAAGATGTGGTTTGTGATTACAACCATCTGTCTGTCAGCTAAGTGCATTCCCTTAGCCTGTGCTGATAGCCTGCCTAGTGGGACAATACCACACCTTTGGTTAAGTCACAGGGAGCCAGGGCCACGCTGAGGCTGCACGGCTGAAGTGGTGAATGCCACTGCACTGGTTCCCTGCCCACCTTCTTTTTGCAGCCTTTTGTGCATGCAGCTGTGGCAGGTGACTGCAGAAGTGCATCTGTGCTGAAGTTACAAGTTTACAGACCAGAACCTGAGAGTAAACTGAAATTTGCAGCACTTGGCATGGGTCTGTCAGGCTCAGCTGTGGATATAACCTGAGTGCTCTGGATTATATATTTATAACTTCATTTTCTTGCAAGATTCACTGCCCATAACATCTGCTTTATATTTCATCAAGTCTTGCTAAGAACGTGAATGGCTGTCATCTCATTGGGACTTCTACATATATTTCCCTTTCCTTTCTCTTCTCTTGGTATTTCTTTAGTTCTCTTTTTTTTGTTTTGCTGAACCTGTCTCGTCCTTCCCTACCACTGACACTTAGTCAAGTGTTTTCCTGTTTCTGAATAACAAAAAGCCATGCTCATTTCCAGCTGCCCATTTCTCCTGGTGAGGTACCTCTCAATCTCCCACCCTGGCAATTCCAAGCAGCAGGCCCCAGCTGGCAGAGCTCTCTGTGATTCCCTTTTGGGGCCCTTTTATGTCCCATATCCAAGAGCAGGATAACCATGTGGATGTAGACTGCCTTAGCAGCCTGGTTTGAGAACTGTGACTGGCCCAGCTAACAAAGTCATTCTTTATGCATCTAGACATGAAGGACTGAGAAATTTGAGAATATGGGTCGTTGTGATTATTTTTTGTCTCACCAGGCCCCATCATGCCACAGATAATTTTAAAGAATTCCTCTGGGCTGTGACTTGGGTTTTGGTCTTGCTTTTCACTCCCCACTCAAAGACTGTGGTTAATCAAAGAAAAGTACACACATACCTTCTTGGGTGGTAATTCTCCCTGTATGACACATTTACTGCTGAGAAAAAAAAAACCAAAAAACTATCGTTGTTTGCCATTTTTTAATCCTGTAATTGCTATGTTTATTCATGGTGTTGACTGAAATTCCACTGAATTTTACTTGCATATGGGCCTTCTGATCTTGGGTCTAATTCTGCTGTTCTATCAAACTTGCAGTTTATGCCAAGCCCTGCCCTTGCTGTCTGTTCATATGGGTTTTGTCCCATATCCCATACCCATCTTCATTATTTCCTTCTTTTTCTTGGTCATCCTCCATTTCCTCATTATTTCCCTTCTGTTGATTTTTCTAGCTTTTCTTTTAAAAAAAGAGAGAAACAACATATCATCCACTGCCTTAAAACTTGGTGTAATTTCTGTGTTTCCCACATCCTATGCCTGTCTTGTCTAAGTTGATTGTATCTCAGGTCACAGACTGCCTACTCGACACCAAATACCATGTTATAGGAAACTTCTGTTTGAGTTAGTCTTTATGCACAGCATGAGTAAATACATTTTATTAACAATAACAACAACTATGCAAGTAATCCCTTATATTTTAATGATGGGACTGATGTAATGGCTCAAAATAAGTATGGCAAAAACGATTCCTTATGGTACATGGAATTAAGATGAATAGAAGATATCTTTAAGTAGGAATTGACAATATATCTTAAAAAAAAAAAACTTATTTAACTTTGCCTCTTTTAATTTGTTAGATAAAAGATTTTTATTGGTTTATTCATACATTCATTTCTTCATTGTGGTAGGATCGCAGTGACTACTTGTCTCTGAGCTTGGTGGCCTCAGGGATAATCCAAGCAAGCATTAGGTTAAACATTGTCTAGAACAATGAAGCAGCAAACACATGCAGGTGTTTTTGCTCTAAAGTTTAGGTGAAAGCCTGATACCTATATGCAGTATTTGTATAGAATGTCTGTATATAGATGAGGAGGAGCTTTACAGGAAATAAGTTGTCAGCCCCAGTCTCTACAGGTGTTCAGCAGGAGCTCATCCTGAACCACAAGGTGGGATAAAGCAGGAAGGGGTTTATCTGAAAGGGCAGCAGTGGGATTCAGTTGTAGGGCTGCCAGGAAACAGGAGATGTCTTTAGACAATGAAACAAAAGGTACAGTGAGCTTGGAGGGAAGGGAGGAGAGTCAAGGACAGTGCTCACCAATGCTCCAGCAGAAAAAGGAAAGAAACACAAGGGAAGAAGGGACTGGCAAACCTAGATGAAACAGTGACTGGAGAAGTGAAAAGTGAGGAAAAACTGCAAAAACTAAGCTGAGACATGAGCTAGATATGCTAAATGTGACTGAAGGGCCAACAAGAGATTGGCTTAAAATGGATTGAGAAGCTTTCAGATAAGAGGAAGCAAAACCAACTTTGATGGGGATTTTGGGTAGAACCCAACAAGAAACAGAGAGATGTGACTGGAAGAACCTGTGAGGTGGCAAGAGGCACTTATACCAAAGGCACTTTTTTTTTCATGTTTTGGGTTTTTTTAAATTACAAAAGAGACACGCATATCTCTGTGGGTGCTAGGAATCAGAGCAGACTGAATGACTAAAGCTGTGAACAAATGAAAGAGAGCGTTGGGAAGACCAGGAAATGAAATGGGGTGAAGTTACCAGGGCAAGTGATGGAGTTACAGAAGACATGTTGATAAGCTTTTTGTTACTGCCACATAGAGACTTGTAGACAGAGGAAGCATGAAGAGAATATTTTATCACTTTTATCTTTACAGAAAATGGTGAGATAACAAGTGGAGGAAAACAGACAGGAAGGCTTGACAAGGGTTAAGCAGCAGCAATGAAAAGCTCACTGGGATTACAAGCGTGCAGATGAGCAGCAGAAGGAGAATTGTTTAGTTGTGAGAAGGCAGAAATGGAGGAGAGCAGGCATGTGGGAGAGGAAGTTGCCTTGATCGCAGGATTTCCGTCGCTCTGCAGTGCAAGAGCATGCATGGGTGGAGCAAGCAGTGAAGGTAAGCTGGTGCTGTGGGTAGGTATGACACCTCATCATGAAAAGAAATAAAGGAAAGAGAGCCCGTGGTGGATGGAAGTTGTATGTGTGGTAAGTGTGCAGTTAAAACATTGCTGCTGGAGCAAACACATGTTTCTCTCCTTAACATCAAAATGCCAACAAAGCTAAAAGATGTGCAAGCTTATTTTTTAATCAGTTTTACCAGTTGGTATTAGTTCTTTAGCTTTTCTTATCTTATTTTCATCATTCTGGTTTTCTTTCTTTCCTTTTTAACAGTCTGCAAGACATTAGTTTTTGCACTTTCTTGCACTATCAGAGGGCAAAGCTCTTAAATATTTTTCCTTAAAATGTTACTAGCTGGTGTTGCTGGGATGTAAATGCACCTGCAGGCACAATCTTTTGGTGGTATATTCCATGCCAGCTAAAAATAAGTGAGACAACTAAGGCTTGTTAAACCGCTTAACAGATAAGGTACAGCAGCCAGGCTGTGCCCTGGGAAGTGTTCAGAATCCCAGTTGTTCATTGCATTGTAGTTATAATTTTCCTTTTTTGTTTTGTTTCTTTTCCTAAAAGCACATCCCTGGCCTACAGAAGTTACAGAAGATGCTTCACACCAGCCTTTTAGCTATCAGAAATATTATTTCAAGCTCTGTAAAGACAATAAACATAATGATATTAACACATTGTTTTAAGGTCAGGTTTATGGAATCCAATGCTTGAGAGAAACCTTGGAGATTCTACTACTGTTTGTTAGGGAGCACATAATGTTATTTTCTGTTAACGTGTGGGGCCACTTTAAATTTGTCCTTCTGCTTTATTAAACCATCGTGGGAAGTGCAGCAGGAGGAAACCCGGGTAATTGGCTGCAGCTCCAGATGCAGCCGCTCGCTCATTGGAGAGAGGAGGATTCTCCCCGTACTAAAATTAGACCATCCCCGCCCTCCAGAAATGCTTCTGGAAACAGGGAGGAATTGTGACACCGCCGGAGGAGCGGGTGGGCAGGGAGCTGTGCAGGGCCCTGCTCCGGACCCAGCCTCGGGCTGCGCTGCAAGGTGCTTCGGGTCCTGGGTGGTTTAAAAAAAATGCACACAGTAAAGAAACTGCAGGAGATTCATGTTCACAGTGAAACACAGATATTAAATTCAACATTTCTTATGTAAGAATAATTCTGAAGTGTTCATGCAGGCAGAGGAAGCCTTTGAACTGCTAAATTTAAGCAAGGGCTGTCAGACTTGTGCTTGTTGACTTTGAAAAGAAATGACTTGCTGAATTAACTCTGAACTAAACTAAAAAACTGGTGGACTGTTTTCTATCAGCATTTCTTAAAAAATAAAACATGTTTATCTGTTATCGCTGTGAAGTTGCAGTGTTTACAATGTCTTCAAATTAAATATTGGATAGGGTTAAAGAAACAAATGCCATGTGCTTGTGTTGGTGAAGGAAAGCCTGTATCTGAATTTGTCTTGTGTATTTGGAACCTTTATTTTTTAAGGTATATGAATAACAATGCCAGTCTTCAGTTTTTAAATATATTTCAAATTGGCTGCAAGGAAATAACTGCATCTTTTTATTTCTTGTTTCTATATTTATATTATTCACATTACTCACGAAAAGGATTAAGGCAAAATGGGTTTTTCTTACACTAAAACCAGCTTTTGCTGTAAATTTGCTATTCCCTCACTTAACCAGGGCATAAAGTGTCAGCACCTCTGGCTCCAAATCCTAGGGGATTTTTTGTCTTTCCTCCTTTGCCTTTTTCAGTCTGACACCATTAAAATTTAAAACCTGCACACTTGTGTTTTCTCTCTGTCCCTTTGTCAGTGTCACCTCAGGGGTCTGAGCGCAATGTCCAGTTCTGGCTGAACTCAGCCGCGAGCCCCAGGTGTTCCAGCACCTCGGATCCCAGAGTTTTATGAGAACACGGTGAGGAGAGGGGACGAGGCGCAGGGAGAGAGAGGAGCAGGGCGGCGGGGGCACGCCGCAGTTATCGGGGCCGTTCACCGGCCCACGCCCCGATAGCGCGGCCAGCTGGCCCGGCTCCATCCGGGAGCGCCGGTAAACAAGGACGGGAGGTGACACCGGGGCACCGCGCCTCGGCTGCCCGGCCGCTGAGGGTCACAGTGGTGGGTGGACAGTGGCTACTGCACAGCCAGTTCCTGCCAGCCGGCTGCCCCCGGAGAGCCGGGGAAATAGGGGATGTGTGGGGAGCAAAGCCATTGGCACCGCGGAGGTAAAATTTGGGGGAAATCCCCAGAGAACGCGGCTCCCCAGCTCTGCTTAATGCCCAGCTCATGATGGCTTAATGCACAAAACGGTGAACGTTTCCTCTTCGTTACACCTTTTTGTCTTAAACGTGAAGTGGCACCGGTACCCGCTGTACGTCGCTCGCAGTGCTGAGAGCCACCATTAGAGAGCTGTGCCTCGGGGCACTGCAGCTCCCGCCCCGCTGCCGCTGCTGAGGCGCGTCCACAGGAAACCTCCCCACAAACGCTGGTAAATGACCTGGAACGGCTGCTGGCTTTTCCTTTATTTTTTCCCCGCCAATAAATCGCGCCACGTCGCTTCATGAGCGTTTGTTGTGAGCGCGTGGCTCCCTCAGCAGTTCTGAGCGTGAGGTGAAACCGACATAAAGCTTTTACTGTCAGGGAGGAATGAGGATTTTGAGATAAGCCCCGGAGATCACGCCACTCCGCCCTTTACACCCGCACCACACGCAGAGCCCATCCTGGGACAGCCATGGTCTCCGTTGTGTGCGCGGAGCCCGCGGCCATCCCGACCCTGAGGCGTACTCCGCCTCCGCCGCCATCACCGCGCCGCTCCCGGCCGCCATCTTCGTCCCGCCCCGCCGAGGCTCGCGGGCGCCATCTTGTGCCCGGCCCCGCCATCGCCCGGCAACGGCGGCGGGTCCGGCGGAGCCCCGGAGGCCGGGATAGCAAAGCCTGGCCGGGCCCCAAGGCAGGTGCATTTGGGGGTTAGAAGCGGACTGTGCAGCAGGGTCTGCGTGTCTGGGTCTGGTGCAGGGCGGATTGAGAGAGCCAGGGAGCGGGGGGCACGGCGGGCAGCGGGTGAGGGAAGGGCTGCAGGTGCTGTTGTGTGGGGTTCTCTGAGGCTCTGTTAGGATCCCCCGCAGCGTCCTGCGCTCACAGTTCTCTCTAAAAGGTTGAGAGAGCTGAGGGTGTTTAGCCTGGAGAAGGGAAGGTTCCATGGAAACCTTCGATCCCTTCCCAGTGCCTAAAGGGACTCCAAAAGAGATGGAGAGGGACTTGGGCAAGGACAGGGAGACGCATAAAAAGGGGGAATGGCTTCCCGCCGACAAGAGGGCAGAGTTAGATGGGATACTGGGAAGCAGTTCTTGACTTTGAGGGTGGCTGTGGCTGCTGCATCCGTGGAAGTGTTCAAGGCCAGGTTGGATGGGGCTTGGAGCAGCCTGGGATGGTGGAAGGTGTCCCTGCCCATAGCAGGGTGGAACTGGATGGTCTTTAGGGTCCCTACCAACCCAAACCATTCCATGATGAAAAATAAGGTTACAAATGGAGACAGGTCTGTCAGAAACCCCCTCACTGGTTCCACCACTCACAACACAATTCTGTGCTCTCAGCTTGCCAGTGTGTCTGCTCAGTCAGAAAACCAGCACATTGTTTGGAGCCCATAAATACAGGAATTAAATAACCATTGAGAAATTACCCCAAGGCTTACGGTGGACCAGTTCCAAGTCATTAGTCCCACCCACAGTCCTCATGTGAGGATACAGATTTGGGGTTTGAAGGAGTCCATGGTGGATGGAGGGTGTGGGAGCACAGGGCGCCCACATCAGGGTGTGTGATAATGCCTCTCCCTCCTCATACATTGTCCAACTTAGTGAATAACAACATTAAATTTTGGCCTTATTTTCCACAAAATGCCACTGCACTGAAAATGGGAATGTGAACTACAGAGTGGTAGCAAGTGCAGAGAAGATCTCACATGGATTTTGTGAGGTGGGTGTGACCCTCTCTGTTCCTGGGGTACATGGTGAGTGTCACCATAGGTGACTGTGCAGTAGACAAATTCCAAATGTCATGTGCTGGTGTCGTTGCAGTACAAAAGGGGCAAGTGAATTCTAATTTAGAAGTCAGGATGGAAGTCTTAATGCCTGAACCTCAGATTTTTGTGGAAAGAACTCTGGCTATCATCAAACCAGATGCCATTGATAAAGAAGAAGAAATAGAGGATCTCATTCTCCGATCAGGATTCCACATCATTCAGGTAACAGGCTGTGCTCCAGAGAAAGTAGCTGTAGTTTATAAGTTAGGAAAATATTTAACTTCTAGCAATCAAGCCAGTAACTAAAAGCTTGTGTGTCCAAAAATCAATTCATGTTCCTTGTGTCATTAAACATTGCTGCCAGATTCTGTAAGGAGATGCTTTTTGGTGCATGGGATGGTACAGAGCAGACCAGCTATTTTGGTGACCACAGGAAAACACGGACTTTATTAATAAACTCACATTTAGCAAACGTATGGAGCAGATGTGTGAGCTTTCCAAGGCAACTCTTGGAAAGCTCACACATCATTCCAAGGCAACTCAGATCTCACAAGATTTTGTGCAGTGTGCAAGTTAGATATTAGATAATTAATTGAAGATATTAGAGATATAATAGATATTAGAGAATTAATTGAATTCGATAGCTGGCCAGTTGCAGCCTAACTAATTTTTTGTTTCCATTGTTTTTACGGAAAATAGACTTTATGGATATTGAAATGAGCTCATGAATATTTAAATGTACCCGGCCCGGCGGCCGCTGGGGGGCGCTGCGCCCTCGCACCTGTGGGCGACAGGGGCCCCTCCTCCTCCTCCCCGCCAAGTCTCGTTTTGTTGTTTTTTTCACTTCCTCCATAACCTTTCTGGTCGTTTTATTTATGTTTTAATATTTATTTATATTAATAAATATATATTTGTTAATATATATTTATTTATGGATCTCTTGGAGCTACTCTAGTAGAGGTCATGGGCTGGAGCCCATGGGCTGGAACCCCCCTGCTCCGGAGGCAGGCTGGGAGAGCTGTGCTTGTTCATGCTGTAGAAGAAAAGGCACTAGGGGGACCTGAGAGCCCCTTCCAGTGCCTGAAGGGGCTCCAGAGAGCTGGAGAGGGACTTTGGGCAAGGCCATGGAGTGGTGGGACAAGGGAGAATGGCTTCCTACTGCCAGAGGGCACGCTTAGATGGGATATTGGGAAGAAATTCTTCACCATGAGGGTGGTGAGGCCCTGGCACAGGCTGCCCAGAGAAGCTGTAGCTGCTCCATTCATGTTCAAGACCAGGTTTAGGGTTTAAGCAACCTGGTCTAGAGGAAGGTGTCTCAGTCTGTGGCAGGGGGTTTGAAACAAGAGGATTTTTAAGATACCTTTCAATGCGAACCATTCCGTGTTTCTGTTGATTCAATACATATCAGAAGATGAGATAAAACACATTATTTATTTATTTAATTGCATTGTGTTAGTAGAGTCTTCTGATGTCTGCAGTGACTTTTGACACCAAAATTATTAGGACTCTGAGTATGTGGAACTCTCATCTTGTACAAGTTTGAGCTCAAAGAATGCACTTCAAAATTTTTTTCTTGGCTGTGGTTTCTGATAACTTCCCAAAGATGTCCTGATCCTGGCCACCTGCAGGTTAGGCAGCTATTGGGAGAGTCACAAAGCACTGAATGAAAAATAGAACAATTGCGTAATTAACAGTGTGGGCTGGAGAGAAACTTGTTTAAAAGTAGAACATTATGCTGTAGCAGCTGAGTAATAAAATACTGCCCTTGTAATGCTCTTCACTTTTCCTGTACAGTGCTCTGTTATCTGGCAGCTAGAAATTGCTGTAGTTTGCCTGGGCTAAAATCACATCTTACTCAAATGGGCTGTTTCTTTAATTAACTTGGAAAACTTTTGCTCTTTGTTACTCTCTGTCTAGAAGAGGATCGTATCTCGGTGAATCAGAGGAATTTCAGAAGTTACCCTGTGTTCTGCACTTGAAGATGTGACTGCAGGAGAGGACTCTATTCTGCCTTTAATGCTCTAACCTGTTTAAATGTAGCAAGCCATTTTAATTATTTTTTTTTCTTCTATGCTTTATAGAAACGGAAGCTCCAGTTAAGCCCAGAGCAATGTAGCAACTTCTATGCAGAACAATTTGGAAAAATGTTTTTTCCTAATTTAACAGCCTATATGAGTTCTGGTCCTATAGTTGCTATGGTTCTTGCTAGAAATTGTGCAGTCTCTTACTGGAAGGAATTGCTGGGACCATCCAACAGCCTAAGAGCTAGGATAACTCACCCTCACAGGTAACTCACTGACTAGCCTTGGGCAAGTCAGTAGGATTATTTTGTCATTCTTTGGATTGAGACCAGAATTCCTTTTTTTTTTTTCTTTTTTATTTTATTTGTTTGTTTGTGCAGTACAGACACAGGCTTCTTATCTCTTCAGTTTTGTGCAACAGCTTTTCACTGCTGTTTTTTAGTATGCAAAGTTCAGCTCTTTTATGGGGAATGCTGAGTGTATGAACATTAAGTTTTAGGTAGCTACTTTTTATGTTTAAAACAAAAGCAAACCAGTGCCTTGTTAATTAGTCCATATATATTGCTTTTGTGTGCTCTCAGGCTGCAGAGACTTGGAAGGGATTTGCAGTTTCCCTCCAAGCAGTTATTTCCCTTGTTTTCAGCTTAAGAGCACTCTATGGGACTGATGAGCTGAGGAATGGGCTCCACGGCAGTCTCAGCATCTCCTCAGCAGAGAAGGAAATTCGATTCATATTTCCAGAAGGTAAAATGGTACAGTTGGTTCACTGTCAGTCCTGGGGAGGATGGAGTTCTTCCCTGTCCTGCCCTGACTCCAGATACAGCTGATTTGGAGAGGCTGGGTTTGTTTGCTTTACAGGATTGTGGGTCTCTTTATGTATAAGCTGACATTTTCTGCTATGAAAGGCTTACCAAAAATCTGTCTAAAGAGCCAGTGTATTTACAGAGGTTGCTCCCACTTTTCAAACTCTGTTCTGGTAACTGGAGCAGTCAAAGCTGGTAAATGAGAAGAAATAGGAAGCTGTTATACTGCAGCAAGTGTTTCTGGCACAGTCAGCCTTGGTTGACTTGAGAAAATTCACTCTTTCCATGGATTCAGGAGGAATAATTGCAAAAGCAGCTGGATGCTCACATGACAGTGCAATTCCCAAGTTAAGTGCCAGAGAAAAGGGCCTTAGAACCTGGAAAGGCTGCAAGAGGATCTCTGGTTTGTAATGTAGCAGGATTTGCTCTTTGACAGAAAGATGCAAGTGAAACTGCTAGAATAAAGTGTCTACTGATACTTTTTGTCAGCTGTATCAGTGAGTTTAATAAAAGATGTTGCAGTTTCTTACAAACCTTACCCATTGTGTAAACCATGTCTCTTCTCACCCTGACAATTAGAGCAAGACTAAAGGTGAGATTTTTAGGGTCTTCAGAAGTCAGCTTCACTCTGGAAGAAGAAAGTGCTAAACATGGGATATACTGTTTTCTTCTGCCCCAAATTCATCTTCAAGGATTCAGGTTTTCCCCAGATGATCTGACTTCCTCTCTTTTCATACTAGACTATAATTAGTAAAATTACCTCAGAAGAAGTTTAGGGAGTTTCTTTGCAGTTTGTTGTGGAAGAAGCTGTAAAACCCATGATGTACTGTTAACTTACTAAGGAAAAGAGTAGCTCACATATAAACAACCTTTGAAAGAATGTTTGGTTTAATCACTCTAGAGGCTACTTTCTTACACCTGTGGTTCCTCCTTGCAGCAATCTTGGAGCCAGTTCCCACTGGCCAAAGGGCTCGGGATTACCTGAACCTGTATGTGAAGCCCACGCTGCTGGCAGGGCTCACTGCCCTGTGCAAAGAGAAGCCAGCAGACCCCATGGTACGTGCAGTGTCCAGCACTGCTGGCAGCTCTGGGATCCAGTCACTTGCTTTAGGAACTCCCTGCTCATGGTAGAACTACTCTGTGGGTAAAGAGCTGGGCTGTTTTAGCTGTCAGCTGATGAGCTTCTCTAACATTTGGTTTCAAGAAGTTGATTTGTTTGTTAGAGATGACACAAGGGTGTGTTTTAAGTGCCTAAACAAAATCAGTTTTCTTACATCTGGAAAAACATGGTTAATGTATCTTTATGTTCTTAAAGCTCCAGTCATTCACACCAGTACTTATTTAAGCATGCAGATAGGTGCAACAACTTGCTGGCAGTTGTGGATTTACATCATTATCACGTTTATAATCAACATTGCATTTTTCTAAAGGATAAATTTTTTCAGAAAAAAAGGCCTTAAAAATCATTTGGGGTGTTCCTATGAACTATGTGATATGCATGAGGCCATGTTTAATGTACTTTGATTGTTCCAGCTTTGTAACCTGTTTACTTTATCTATATGTCTGGCACTGTTACCATAGAAATCCAGAAAACAGAGATGAAGTCCATTCCTTTGCCCAAAGGCCAAGCCACTTGTATCTATTCCTAACAAATGTGTGTCTGGCCTGTGGTTTCCCACTCCAAGTGATGGAGAATCTACAGTCTCCCCAGGCATTCTGTTTCAGTGCTTAATTATACTTGTTAAAAGCTTTCACTGAAAGATAGCCTAAATCTCCTGGCTCCAATTTTAAGCCCATTACCTTTTTTTTCCCTTTTACTATCCTCAAAAGACATTGGAGACAATGTAATATCTTTCCTCTTTTTTTTTTTTTTTTTTTTTTTGCAACCTATTGCATATTTGAAGAGTATTCCTATTTCTTTCCCATCAGTCTTCTCTTTTTCTCTTTACTATATTAAATACTGATTTTTTTTTTTGCATGTTATATCTTTCTGACTCATTGTTTTGGCTTCCAGTTAATCTGCATTCTTAGCACAATTTTCTAGTCAATTATGAGGTATCTAACAGTAACTTAATCGAGACAATGCTTTTCTTCCTTGCTTGTAAGAAAGCTGTATGAAGCAGTGTCAGCAGCTTTGCTAAAAACATTCTATTTGCACTTTCTTTGTTGTCCATAATGTCTGTGACCTTGTAACAGAATGAAAATAGTGTTGATTTTATGCTGCTTCAGAAATAGATATTGCCTGTTGCTTTTCAGTTTGTTTTCTGCTAGATGGCTTACAGGGAGACTGTTGGAATGCTTTTTTTCCAGCATCCTTTTCTTCTTTCCTCTCCTTTTGCAGATGGCATCAGAAAGTGTCTGTGCACTCAGAAATACTTGCTGTCAGGACAGAGGTTGTCTCAGCCAGTTCCTTAAGTGACAGGATACATTTATTTGGTTCAAATTATTTGAGGACTTCTTTTTTTTTTCCAAAGTAGTTTTCCTGAGGGGTTTTGTGTTTTGGGCTATTTTGTTTGTTTTCCATTTGTGTCTCGGGTTCTTACTACTGTGCTGTTGTTGCTTTACCTGTCCTAGTGCTCTGCTTGGCTCTCCCTTTGCAAACCTTTTATACGTGGTAGTAAAAGCTGAGTGTTGCTTACCTTCCCTGTCTGCTGTTCTGCCAGCTCTTCACAGTGTGGTATGAAGTTTGTTGTTCTCAGCATTCCAGAAACCAGTCGTCAACAGCCTTGTGAAGTAAATAAGGATGTGTTAAAAACTTTGCTTTACAAGTGGAGAAATCGAGGCAAAAGGTTAATTTGCCTAAGGCCAGGCCCAGAGTGGCAGATGGAATTAGGACTCAAGGCATTCCTGCCTCCCACGTTCTCATTTAAGTACAACGTGCTGGAAAACTTAAAAGATGAATTTCAAAAAGTAACCATGTTTTGGTTTTACGTTTTAGATACTGTAAGGTGATTCAGTGCAGAAGGCTGGCACTCTTAATGAATGACTACTGGATGAAGTATCTCTGAGTGTTGTCAGCAGTAATATTTCATTAAGCAGTTTCATGCATATTGTGCAGCAGCATTCCAAAACAGAGCTGGCTGAGTTATTTGAAGCATGGCTCAAATGGTCTTATATTTTCACAAAGATAAACATTGCCAGGACAAGTTGTCTTCTAAAGGTCATGGTGCATTGTTCAAAAACAGTACAGGCTGTGAAGATTTAACAGAACATTTTTAAAAAAGAGGTCATCTGCATGTCCATTTCTTTCTAAAAGGGATGAATTAGGAGAATATCTGTAGCAGAGGTTTCTAATAATGCTTTTATATATAATAATGCTTTTATAATATTCTTCTATGAACTTAATAGAAAGCAACAGAAAGCTGAAAACATTTAGGTTTGTTTTTTTTTTTTTTTCCACAGATTTGGCTTGCTGACTGGCTGATTGAACACAATCCTAATAAACCTAAGCTACAATATCGCATCTCTCAGGAAGGGCATTGACAGTGAGAGCCTGGTGGAAGCCATCTCACACATTCCAAGTTATAGATGTGTATTGTCATTTTTGGTGTGTCCTTTGACTGTATAAGCAATACTGTCTATGTATTTAAAGTAAATGCATTTGTCATAACTGCTTGTGTCCTCATGGGATAAATAACCCTACACTAACCAGCATGTAGTGGTTCTAATACCTTCTCTGCTGACAAAGTGAATGTAGAATTACACAATAAATTTATGGCATTGGGTGATTAGAAGAAGGCAATGTTACTGCTATTGTCCACATTTTTCTTAGTTTGGCTTTGTGGGAGAACAAAATCATTTACAGCAGTGTGGATTCCCAAATTAAATCCACCTGGCTTGTGCTTTGCAAAGCCAAAGGTTGTGTTTCAGCAATTTTTTAGCATAAATTCAGTTATGAAGGGAGGTACTTGGATATAATGTAGAAAACAATTACTGGAGGCATATTAGCAACTTTGGAATTTTAATTCCTGATTACATCACCCAGCTAAGGTTGTCCTTGAAGATTATTCACTTAGTCTGATGTATTTTGTCAGAATATAATTCAAAGGACTTATTTGAAGGTACATTCAAAGCACCTTTCCCATCTTGGTGCAAAAGGCTCAGGGACTATAAATAACAAGATGTATTTTAGTCAAGGACTAAGGTTGTCTTCCAACATTTGTTTGCAATAAAGGTGCTTAATTGGAACAGCTCACATTTAAGAGTGTTTTCTGTGTTCTCCTGCTCCTAAACATACACGAATTTCTGTTTTCCTCAAACTTTCATGTGTTCTGTTGAAGAAGAGTGCTTTCATAAGAGTGCTCTTCCACAAGCAATGGGTTAATCCCATGCTATTGCCTTTTATGAAGTAACTGAACTGTTTTTTGGGGATGTGGGGCTTTTTAATTTTCTTCAAAGAGCTGTACTTATGCTGTTAGCTAATTGTATCTTATGGTTTGACTGGCTATAATGAAGAAAACTGTAATTTTCATAACTCTGAAATAAGAGTATGCTTGACTAATACTAAACAAACAAGTAATTTCATAATTTGTTTCATGAAAAAACTTGCTTCCCCAATTTGAGTAATTATGAGAAACACAAGTCATTTTTCTGTAACATCAAACTTTGTTGAAGTGAATTGTTTATCCTCTCAGTGGAACAAGCCACTATTGCCAGCCCAGATAATAAACATTTAGAAACTAGTCCCTACAGTACCAAGACCTAAAAATCTCGGGACTGCCAAGATAAGGAAAAAAAATGAAAGCCTAAACCCTCAAATAATGAAGAATAAAAGTATGAGGTGGTTAGAAATACAGTAACAGATCTGTTTTCAACCCATTTATTTTGCCTATAATTATTGTCCCCATATGTGTCTGATTGCTCCAATTACAGGACAGTTGTGCTTTGTGGTTTCCTGTCAGCCAAATAAAAAAATACATTTTCTAAAGATGCCAGAAACGAAAATCCGGTGAATTCACAAGGCATTCCCCTGTATTTTGTTAGTTACTATGACATTTGCCTGCTTATTTTGGTGTGCTACTGTTTGACAATAAATGCATCCTTAATGTTCCTGCTGGAGTTTTCAGTTTTGCTTTTGTGCTAGAGCTGTGTTATATTGGATGAGAGTAGGTGGGTCCTTACCCGGGGGGTGGGAGAAAGGACAAGGGCAGCTGGTGTTGCAAATGTCACCTTTGTCACCCACACAATACAGACTCTGTCATTCAGGTGTTCATCTATCATGGAATTATTCTCTAATGTTGAAGCTAACACCTTCTATTGCTGACTGGTGTTTGTTTCCATTTTCCTAAGAAAAAGGTGGAAAGAGAGAAGTTGCCTTTATCCCATGGGTGCCATCCTGACTCACCGTGTCCCTGCACACAGGACAAGTATTGATCAGCAGCTGTCACAGCTGAGATCCGAGGAGCCTGCATTAATGGGTGGGATGTGGGCAGAGTCAGTCCCGGGAGCATGAAGTGGCTGAGCAGCCTGATCCCGTGGGGGGAGCTGTGACACCACAAGAGAGGCTGTTGGGGCATGTGCTGCTACATTTCTTATGGACTTCAGTTTTTTTTATTTAGCCCAGAGTGGTACAGGCTTGGCCAGGGTTATAAATCTGTAGCACAGAAAATGTAGTTTTGGGAAAAAAACCTAGATTAACTGAAAGATGTGTTCCCATTCGATGTCAGCAAGCTGAGATACTCTCTGTGGGAACGAGTGACCTGTCCTCTCCCTCTGTCAAGTCAAAATAATTACCTTGCCTTTTGAGTTCTATTGGGCATTTTTAACTTTGCGGGAGTTCATTTTAGTTTTACTGCCTGAGTGCTGGAATAGAGCTATGTCCATAAAATGAGCAGTTCAGTCTGTTTCCCATAATTCTGTTTTTTCAACAGAATTCCTCCTGGAACTTTGCTTATCATATGCTTGCTATCACCTGCACTGGAAGTTGTTCTTGGAACTATACAGATTGAGCTAGTCTTGAAGTATGTGATTGTTCAGCCTTCCTGTCTCACAAGAGATTTATTATCTTCAGGAAGAGTTAACCTGCCAGGAGCCTTGGACATACTTTAAAGATGGCAGAAGCCTCAGTCAAAGGCAGTTTCCCATTGCCTGCATCTATCAGAGCATTCCAGCGTGCCAAGCTTCAGAAATGAGTCACTGGCCAGAGCTTGGGACTGTCATTCAGGAGATTTAAGATTGTTTCATGGAGACTTGCAAAGCCCTGCTTTTCTCATGTAGGAAAAGGAGAAGATTTATGTTTATTCCTTCTTTTAAGCTATTAATCCTGACCATCCTTTAAACAACAGTTGATGAGGGTCAGTGTTCATTCATTCAGCCAGAGTATTCAGATCAAGATGATTTGTATTCTGCACAGTAAATGTTGGCTATTTTTGGTGGTACCCAACAACAGCTCATCCTCTGAAAATGTGAGAGCAGTTCTTCAGTTTCCTTTAAAAAAACAAAAGTAGAAGAGAAATAATTTTTTTTTGTTGGAAAGGCTTTTTGCACATCATAAAAAGATCATCATAAAGAGATAACTTGCAGTTGTTTTTGCAGTGCTATTTCATTTTGGTAGCTTTGTCATTGGACTAGAAATAGGACTTCAGTCCTCTCTACTCAAAGCAAAGCTGTTTTGCTTTGCTCAAGCAGACTTAGCACAAGCCAGCGTGGCAGTGTCACCAGCACCATAACAGCAAAGAGGTGCTTCCTGGTTCTGCTGTTAGTGAAACAGGAAAACCTGCTGCTTTAGGATGGTCCATCAAGAGCAGCTGCCTGCACCTAGAAACCTCCCCTGGTGTGGATGAGCTCCTCCGGGTGTGGAGCGTGTCAGCAGCGTGACTGATGTGTGCAGTCTCCTTGGGGGGATGCCTGTCAAATCATTGTCATGCTGCCTCCTGCCAAGGGATCGTGGGGACACTGCCAAAGCTCAGGGGAGAGCTTTTTGTTGGTCTTCTGAGCCAGAAATGAGGTATTGTTGTGAGACGGAGCAGTTGGTGGGAGAAGAAGGCAGTTTGCAGACAAGTGGGTGAATGATACTCTAATAATGGTAACACTGAAGGATTGAGAATTCAGCTCAGTGCTTGTGAGTGTTTTAGGGCTGAGGGAGGCAATGCTTTCTAGCAAAGACCTTCATGCAGTGCCTTGCTGTGTGTGCTTATACTTGTCTAGTGTGGCATCAAGTTTTGTCCCTTGAGAACCCCTGAGGACCCCATCTTGCTTAGCTGTGGTGCTGTTCTGAAGCATGATTATTAAAATAATAAAACCAAAACACAGCTCTGGTACCATGTCTGCAACTTTGTTATCATCATATTTATTGAAAAGTCTTTTCACCTGGGATCTGAGTCAGCCTGGATGGATTCTGTTTGGCCAGAGAGAAAAGGCAGACTGCCTTAGCAAGTAATCACGTGTGAACTCACCCTAAATTCCAGGGAATTTTTATGTGCAAGAACCTAATTTGGCTCTAAATTCTCCTGGCTTTAGTAAACTACTCCACAAACCACCCATGCTTCTTTATCATCTCTTTATAATCAATGCTAAAGCTCTCATTTCCTTGCTAGGGGACAGTTGTGTTTTTGTCATGCTTCCAGAATCTGCACAGATTGTCAGGTTAGGAAATTCTGCTTTGTCAAAAGCAACATCTTACTGCTATGCTGGCTGGTGGTTCTTATCTCTCTTAGGTGCTGTAAAGTGTTTTCTTGCTGGGTGGCATTCCTGGTGCCGTGTGAATGAGGCAGTGTTTTGTCCATGTTTAGTTTTGTGCCAGGCCTGGTCTCTCTGTGTGAGAAAATTCCCAGGAGCGTTTAATGGACGCGTGTGGACAAATCTCCTGCACGCCCCATAAAGCACTTTACCATGGGCCACTATAAAGCAGTCATTACAGAGCAGTGTTTAAACTTCTGAGATTAACACAGTCTCTCAATTGCACTTACTTATTTTTATAATGTGTAATTTAGCAACTGAACTGTGAAAAGTTATGGCATAGCAAGGTCTTCTTAAAAACAGTGGTTTCAACTGTGCTTTTAGGTGCCTTCATTGTAAATCCAGAGCATTTCCATTCTGTTAGTTAAAAGAGAGAGGGAAAATGGGATCGTTTCTGGGAGCTGCTCAGATGGAATATGTGCATTTGAAATGTATTGACAAGTGTTGGCATGGCACATTTTCCACATTTATGGAAAGCAAAGAGCTTGTGCCTGGTTTCTCAAGAGGCAGACTTGGACAATGCTGTTCCCTGCATGCAGAACACTTTGGCAGTTGCCATTTTGCTCAGGGAGTTGTGCAATGGTATTTTTGCCTGGATAAAGAAAGTTTGATCAAACCTCTGTTTGGAAACAAGATGCTTTTTCTGTGGCCAACACATCCAGATAGCCATGAGATCCTTCCCTGCTAGTTACCACTTCCAACTGAACTATCCACGAGGCTATTTCAGAATACTTGGTTTCTTCCCAGCTCTTCCATGTAAATATACTGAAGTGACCAGCAAAGTTTTGACCGTGACTGTCTTTGTTTTGCAAAGTTCTCTTGTAAACAGGCTCTGTGGGGCTTCCCCAAATAGCCCCATCAGTGCAACTGAATGGGAGCAACAAAGGCATAGGAAATGAAATGTCCATTCCTTTTCTTATTCATGCAAATGATAGTTTATCATACTGTTTGTTAGCTTCATATAGCCAGGATCTGTGATGGTTCTTAAGCCTTTTACTGCTTTTTTTTCTCCTTTAATGAGCTGCAATAAAGCATTGCCTTACCAGAGTGCTGACCCAGTGCTGAGGCATTCTCCAAACTTAGCGTTATTATTGGTATTAATTAGTCATTACCCATCACAGCACAGAGCAGCCATGATATATCTTAACCAGTTGTTCTGTCTCTCTGCCAAATGTTCCTTTTTAAGGTGGTTTGGGATTCTTGGAATTAACAATTTCAAGTCATCCATAAACATGGTTTTAATAATGATACCTGGTTTCTTTATTATATCTCTCCTCAGTGAATGGGCAATGATGTACAAAGGAACTGGCAGTACACAGGTGGTACAAGTGTGAAGGTAAGGAATGGAGATGTGAAAAGACTCCTTGGGTCCTCCCTTGGAGCAGCAGGAGGATCTAGAATCACAGAATCATGGAAAATATGGGCAAATGCATGAGCAGATGGCTACTGCATGTGCTCTGTGAAAGTGCCTACTTGGAGGTAGGGAGGGGGAGTTTGACGCCTGTGTTCTCAAGGTCTGCCAGTGGTTTGGTGCTTGGATCACTTGGCATCTTACATGTTGAATCATTTCTTTGGAGACTTTTCTACCTGAATATGGGTAGAGGGTTTCTCTCTGTGGTTTCAGGTTTTAATGAAGACAGCTCTATCACCGTAGTAATGCTGTTGCAAGTCTGTTAATCACTTCTGGACTTCATAAAGCAGTCATCAAAAATTAGCAGTCAGTTTTATTTCATCTCTGGGAGTGGAAACAAGCAGAGCTGGCACAGCTGTGAAGCTGTGTATGGAATTAGCAGGTTTGAGCACAACTCCTAGGTGGGAGTAATTCCTCTCCAGGGTACAGATGAGTCTGGCTGGGAGGATCCGTGCTCCTCTGCCCCAGCTGCACCTCCAACAGTTTTCTTTTGTTTTCTGTTGTCTACAGCCACCAAAGGTGATGATCCAAGGGGAAATCACACGGAGTTTGCTGACACTGTGTTTAGAGCTGTGAACAGAACAGGCAGAGAAAAGGCCAAATGAGGACAAGTGTGATCCTCTGCTCTGTCTTCCTCAGTTCCAACAGCACAGAATGAAATGTTTCCCTAAGCCAGGGCATCCACCTTTCAGATACTCTGACTGAGCTCCTCTCAGCTCAGCCATGATCACAGCTTCAGGAGGACTGGCCTGTGCACAGAGAGCAAAGGCTGACAGAAAATTAAAATTTGTAGCTATTTTTATTCTGCTCCAACTGTTGGGTTTCTTTCTAGGTACAAACAGTTGATATGACTTTCATCTCCTGACATGAGGGAAAAGGTGTAAGGTATATTTTTAAGTTGAACTATTTTATGTGTGCTTTTAGAGATTTGCTGCAGAAGATGGTGTTTGGTCATGTCCTA